ATTTCCCCCTCATTTTAAAAATTTTAATACTATTTACAAGAGCATGAGTCTAGCGATATTAGACTATCACTAGTCTTAGATCACTGAATTAAAAAAAAAATTAAAACGACAGGTGGAAAGCTTAAAAGGAGCTGTGCGAGGTTTAGTTCCCTGCTGGTATTGACTTGAAAGAAGGATTGGAGAGGAGGCAAATGGCAGCATCCCCAGTGCAAAAAAAGAAAAGAAAAAGGATTTCAGTGCTGCATGTTAACAAAATAAATGGGGAGGATCATCAGTGCGGAATGAAATTGACATGAGATGTAAAGAGAGAGAGAGAGAGAGACTGGGATGGGAAGCCTAAAGCTTTGAATTCCCCCCTTTAATGCTTTAGTGAACAAAATTGAGGGGGGGCATTTTGGCAGACTCCGGAAGCCTAACATCAAAATGGCAACTGAGCCACATGGACCTTCTGCAAACCGCTGAACTTAAGAATCGCTTGGGATTGATCCATTTGGAGGACAGAGTGCAATCTACACAGAACAGTCTCTAAAAAACTGCCAAGATTATGGCCAGTGTGCAGGATCAAATTAGAGAATCAAAAAGAGAAAAACATGCAAATTTGCAAGAAAAGGCAGGAAATCAGCGTTACTGTGCAGCTGTGCTAGGGCACTGGCAAAAATATCCCCCCATTTTTTTTCAATTTAGTGGCACAAGACTAAAAAAGCTCTCCAGAGCTTTTGCCAGAGGACTCCTCCCCATACAAATTGCAACACTGTGCAAAGTGTGGTGGAGTTGCAGCCAGCTTTGCAGAGACACATGCATATGCACACACACAAACACACATTACCAACACAAACACACATTACCATCACAGCTTGCAATGCCAGTGGGTTCTACTGTGCATTCTGTACACTCAACATGTTTCCCCATATTATGAGATTGTGTGACACTTTCCCATTTTTCACAGTGGCTGATCACAGCAATATGAAAAATGGGGCTTCACAGCTGCTTGTCAGTTTCAAAAAAGGGCTGGTCAGTTTCAACATTGGTTTTCCCCCTTTGCCTGCATTCCTTTCTGTTCCCATTCATTTAAGGAACAAACACTAAAATGCATGTGCAAAATTCAAACCACAAGTATTTAAATGGAAGGTGCTTGCTGGACACTACTGTGCAGCTGCAATACAGCAACGGAACAGCCATGGTGGCTCAGAGGTTAAGACGCTGAGCTGCACTTCTGGTTTGACAGCGCTGCGAGCAGTCCGAACCGACCGGCTCCCCCACGTCTTTTTGGGGCTCTCCGTTTCGGCGTTTGAGTCCCACTTCCACTCCTGGAGGGAGAGGAAGTTGCAGGGGGCTTACTGCCCCCCCCGCTGATGGTGAATCGTGGGGGGTGTAGCCGGCTGCCCCGAAGCAGAGACGAGGTTCGGAGGAACACAGCTTCCGTGTTCAAATAGCAGCGACCAACCGTTTTAAAGCCTTTTAATATTAAAAAAATGGTACCTTAACTAGAAGATTTTTTTGGTTGGCGCACACCTCTGTAAGAAATGAAGATTGCGAGGGAAATACCCCCCTGGAGTAAACCTCAACTATTGGTGAAGGCGGCTATGGAAAGTGAGAGGAAAGATGGAAGTAATGAAGACGGGGTAAAAACAAATGTATAGCGGACTATAAAAGTTAATTAAGAAATGTGGATGACTGTGAAAAGAAAAAGGAAAAGGAACGGTGGAAAGGAATTTGAGGCTAACGACGCTGTAAGCTTTTAGGACTATTTGTGAATTTGTACTAAGCGGAGTGAGAAAATGGCGGAGGTGAAAACGGAGGAGGAGACAGAACCTGAGATAATCTTACAAATAACAGACTTTAATGTGGAATAGTTTAAATCCTTTTTGGAAGAATCTATTAAGCAATCAGTTGCGACAGCGGTAGCAACAGCATTAAAAATATATATTTGGAAGACAACAGACCCCCCAGGAGATAGAAAATAAGGAGAGAATGGAACGAGGCTCACCTGTGCCAAGGCAGCGGGAACTGGACCAGGAGAGGGAGCCCTCAGTTAACCAAGCCTTACACACAGAGGATGTACTGCAGGATGTACTTTTTTCGGGGAGTCATCCAAAGAAAGGGCAAAGTTTAAGACTTAAAATACAACAAAATACAACAAAAAAAACCCGACATGCAATAAAGGGAAAAGTTAAGAAAAAGAGAGGGCTGAGAAGAGTAGGAAGGAACTTTAATTGTCTTATAAGAACAAAGCCTCATGTAGAGAAGGGGAAAAGTCAGAGCCAAGATTTAAAGCTACAGGAATGTAAAAAGCCTAGAAGCTTAAAAGTAGCTCAGAAGGAACAATGGAGAAAAGGACATATTTCAACATGCCAGGGGAAGGAAAAGAAGGAATTTAAAAGATTCAAAAAGAGATTTAGGTACAACAAAAGAATGAAGTTTTATTTGTGGGAAGGGACCTGGCAAAGTTTGGTCTTGAGGCAATTGGAATTTAAGAACTTTAGACATTTAAAAGAAGTAGAAAGAGAAGAAGAAGAAACAGAGAAAGGAAGGGGAAACAAGGGGCAAGGGGTTTATTTGTCTATGGATACTTTTAGGTTGTACTAGATTTTGATATGCAAGGAAGAATGGAACAGTTGACTATGAGTAAGGTAGCTGTGTGTAGTATTAATCGATTGGGAGTGCAGAGGTAAAGAATTGCTGAAGTAGAAGTAATAGACGGGGCAACTGATTGCATATAGGATAAAGCTCAGGTCTGGAACGGGGATGAAATTAATCTGCCAAAAAGCAATTTTCATAGAAAAAGAGGAAGGGAAAAATGAAAGAAAAGAAAACAGTTTCGTTGGAAACAAGCAAATGGATATAGTTAGCTGTATTAATACGTAAGAATTATTATTATTTCGTTAAGTAACAGAAGGATACTCTATTATTAAGGAAGTAAGGTGGTTGGAATAGGGTATAATGTGCTGATCTGTGAAAGAAAACTTTTTGGTTTGATAACTATAAGTTGAAGATTAGGAAAGTAAAGTTGTAAACATAAAGAGTTGCCAGAAAAGGAGGAATTTCTATGGAGTTAATAGAATTTAAGATGCTGTGTGATATAAAAATAAGTAGTGCAGATAGAGAAAATTTTCTGATTAATCCTTAGGTTGTTGACCATGCGTAAAGGAAAATGAGATACAGTATAGGAGTAAATGGTTATAAGATGCGCTGTTAGAGAATCCATTTTGGAGAAGTACTAACTAAAAGAGTGATGATATCGGCTACTGTATAATCCTGTAAAGGTACCAAAATGATCCATATCTATCTGTTATGTATTTGTGTTGTTTGTTTGTTTGTTTGTTTGTTGATTTGTGTGGAAACTAATAAAAAGATTATTTAAAAAAAAAAAAGACGCTGAGCTGCAGACCAGAAGGTCAGTAGCTCGGCAGTTCGAGATCCTAGTGCCGTGTGACAGAGTGAGCTCCCGTCTCTGGCCCCAGCTCCTGGCAACCTAGCAGTTCGAAAACAAGAAATTGCAAGTAGATAAATAGGTACTGCTACGGTGGGAAGGTAACAGCGTTTCGTGCACCTTGGCATTTAGTCATCCCGGCCACATGACCACGGAAACATCTTTGGACAACGCTAGCTCTTCGGCTTGGAAACAGAGATGAGCACTGCCCCCTAGAGTTGGATCTGACTGGCTTTTGAGCAAGGGAAACCTTTACCTTTACTAAGGTGGATGAGAATGAATGTATCTTTGCTTTTACTGCAATAAAGTGAATATAATATATATATGTGTGTGTGTATATATATGTGTGTGTGTGTGTATGTGTGTGTATAAAATATATATAACATATACATATACATATGTAACAAATTCAGAGTCCAAGGGCATCTTTAATACGAACAGAGGTTTATATATATATATATATTCAAGGTCTGAGCTTTCGTGTGCACGCACACTTTATCAAACCCAGCAAGTCTATCTCATGATGATAAGTGCCCTAATGGCTCTGGTCTTCATCAAATATCTTCCTGAATAAACTTTGATTTGATAAAAGTATTTGATAAAGCGTGCATTCACATGAAAGCTCAGACCTTGAATAAACCTCTGTTAGTCTTAAAGGTGCCATTGGACTCTTAATTTTGTTGTACTGCTTCAGGCCAACACGGCTGACCAACTGGATTATTAAAATATATATTAGACCAAATCTTTAGGCAGGGCTAAGGCAACGAACATGGAATGGAGCAAACCCCGGAGGATGGCGGAAGACAGGAGGGCCTCAGTGGGGTGATGTGGTCCATGAGGTTCCGAAGAGTTGGACTTGACTGTGCAACTGAACAACAAGAAGGTGACCAAAGGGTGATGAACACATGGAATTCACCGCCACAGGAGGTGGTGGCGGCTACAAGCATGGACGGCTTCAAGAGGGAATTAGATGAGCATATGGAGCAGAGGTCCATCAGTGGCTATTAGCCACAAGGTATAGATAGGAACTCTGGGGCAAGGGATGCACTGTCTTCTTGGTGCTTGGGGGGGGGCAACAGTGGGAGGGCTTCTGGAGTTCTGGCCCCACTGATGGACCTCCTGAGGGTACCTGGTATTTTTGGCCACTGTGTGACAGAATGTTGGACTGGATGGGCCACTGGCCTGATCCAACATTGACGTCTCTGATGTTCTTATGTTAAGAGCAGAGCTCCATCAGTGGCTATTAGCCACAAGGTATAGATAGGAACTCTCAGTCTGGGGCAAGTGATGCTCTGTATTCTTGGTGCTTGTGGGGGGGTCAACAGTGGGAGGGCTTCTAATGTCCTGGCCCCACTGCTGGACCTCCTGAGGGCCCCTGGTATCTTTGGCCACGGTGTGACACAGGGTGTTGGACTGGATGGGCCACTGGCCTGACCCAACACTGGCTTCTCCTGCGTTCTTATGTTCACCGCGAGGGGGCGCGCAAGGGAGAGGCTCCCTGCAGCCATAGGAGAGGTCGCGGCTCAGACCAGCCCCGTTCGCTTTCCTCAGGCGAGGCCTCGCGCGGCCAATGGCAGCCTCCGAGTCATCGTACGTGTCTCACCGGAAGTCCCGCCTGCGCGCGTCACTCCGGCCTCTTTCCGAGCCGGAGCCCTTCGTGCGGCGCTACCTGGCCCGCCTCGGCGCTCTGCGGGCGGGCCCCGACCCCAGCCAGGCCCCGGAGGGCGAGAGCGGCCGCCGCCGCTGCACGGAGCTCCACCTCGTGTTCGACCAGCTCATCTCGGAGACCTGCGGCCCCGCGGCGGGGAGGGAGGCGCCGCGGCCCGAGGTGAGCTGAGAGCGGGGAGACCTCCTGGGTCTGCTTGACTTTGAGGCCGCCTGTCTGGCGGGGGCGGGAGGCGGGATAGAAGTCAGGGATGCCAACTTCCAGGCAAGGCTCCCTCGAAGCCGCGGAGTCCTGTGAGCAAACATTCTGCTTTGTGAGCGGCTGGCGTGACAGCGAGCGAATTGCTGAGCGGTCGGGGTAGAAGGGATAAAAGGAAGTCCTCCTTCGCCCAAAGAGTGATTCACACGTGGAATTCACTGCCACAGGAGGTGGTGGCGGCTACAAGCATGGACAGCTTCAAGAGGGAATTAGATAAGCATATGGAGCAGAGGTCCGTCAGTGGCCCCTATTAGCCACAAGGTATAGATAGGGACTCTGGGGCAAGGGATGCTCTGTGTTCTTGGTGCCTGGGGGGGGGGTTAAACAGTGGGAGGGCTTCTAATGTCCTGGCCCCACTGCTGGACCTCCTGATGGCACTGGTATTTCTGGCCACTGTGTGACACAGAGTGTTGGACTGGATGGGCCTTTGGCCTGATCCAACAATGGCGTCTCTTACGTTCTTATGATTTGGTTGCTGCATCAGTTAGTTTGCCCTGGAGCCCTCCTCCCTGAGCCAAGACAAAAATATGTGAACAGGAGGCTAAAAAACTGTGAACTAGCTCACACTAACTCAGCTTAGAGGGAACACTGCTTCTAGGTGTAGGGATTCCACACACACACCCCCGGGCTTCAGCGATCAGTTGCCCTGGAGGGTGGCTTCTGTGGCCCCGATGGCTAGAAGCATAGAGTCAGAAGGGACCTCCAGGGTCATCTAGTCCAACCCCCTGTACAGTGCAGGACATTCACAGACACCTCCCCCTCCACACCCACGGTGACCCCTGCTCCACGCCCCGAAGATGACAAAAAAACCCCTCCAGGATCTCCAGCCAAACTGGCCTGAGGAAAAATTGCTGCTTCCTGAAACTCCAAAGTGGCAATCAGCATTTCTCTGGGCATGTAAGAAAGGGCCGCGAGAACTAAGCCCTGAGGCAACCCTTCCTGCCCTCCCTCTCATGGTCTGCTCAAGTTCACAGGATCAGCATTGCTGTCAGGTGGCCATCGAGCCTCTGTCTGTGGCCCCGCCTCCTCTGAGGGCCCCCCCTCCCCAAGCTTCAGGGATCCCCCGACTTGGAGTTGGCTGCTCTAGAATAGAAACCAGACAGCAAAGAAGACTACGGGGTGAAATGTCAGAGAAAGCCGCGTGCCTTGACTTGATTGTGGAACTGGCTGTCTTAAGGGGCGGGGTGGTGGTGGTGGTGGCCACTGACTGGTAACTTGGTAAGGGGCTGATATTTTCATTATTTCTGTTTACATATTTATATCCTGCTTTTCTCACCAGTGGGAGCTCCAGGCAGCTTACAGTGCCATTCTTTTTTCTCCCACTTCCTCCTCACAACAGTCTTGCGGGGTAGGTGAGGCCGACAGAGTGAATGGCCCAAGGTCATCCGGTGAGCTTTCATGGCCAAGTCGGTATTTGAACCTGGATAGTCTTAGGTCCTAGACTGACATTCTAACTGCTAGACCACTCTGGCTGTCTGGTGAGACAAATCCGTCCCCCAGCTGCTGTTAGCCATGGTAGCCAGGTGGAGTTTTGGGGCTGGAAGGCAAGCCTGTATGCATTGGGGTAGGGTGTGTGTGGAAGTAGGTGATGGGAAAGACCTCTTCTGCCTGAGACCCTCAGGAGCCGCTGCCAGTCTGAATAGATAATTTTGACATTGATGGACCAGTAGTCCAATTCAGTAGAAGGCTCCTTCACGTGGAGGTTATGTGCCTCTGAATAGCAGATCTCGGGAGGCAAACAGGGTAGGGCTTATTTGTGTGCTGGTTTCTTGGCAGTATGTAGTGGTTGTCATGATCTGGAGATGAGAGGTGCCTTTTCTTTGTTTCGGTTTTGTTTTTGCATTTTTTTTTGTGTGTGTGTGCACGCACGCACCTGGAAATCATGGTGACCGACCCCTACTGGGGGCCTGGAGGATACCCAGGTGGCTGAATAAAGCCTGTCCCTGCCTTCTGACTGCTGGTATTCCAAGGAGGTCTCCCATTCAAGTACTTGCCAGAGTTGACCCTGCTTCGCTTCCGAGATCTGACTGGATCGGGCTGGCCTGGGCTGTCCAGGTCAGGGCGAGATGTGAGGTGCTTTGAAGCTCACCAGGGATCTCCTGGGATATTGACAGCGGCACAGTTTCGCAGGGAAGAGGGCCACAAAATGCACCAAGCCAAGAGTAGAGATAATTCTCTAAAGAGACAAGCATTTACTCTAAGTGCCAGGAAGGACAAGATGGATAGCTGTTGTAACATGATCTGGGTATTGAGATGTGTGGAACAGCACCCTTGGGAGCCTGGAGCCTGCCATGGGGGGGGGGCTCCCCAAATCTCGATTGGGTAAGAGGCTTCCTGCCAACTAAGACAGGAAGGGTTAAAAGGCTGGAAGTATCCAGTTAGTGGCTGTTCAAATACTAGGAGTTGGATTCCCCTGCAGGGAGCAGGCGTGGGGTGTCAGGGTTTGCATTTGCTCCACCGCCATTGGAGGAGGGATGTCAGAGGCAACATTCTGTGTTGTTAAGTTTAGCATAGAGGTAGATCTGTGTAATCAGTAGGCATGATAGTCATTTTCTCTTGCCTTTAGCTGTAGTTTAATAGCCTGTAGTAATTAAGTATTCTTGTTTAAGGGAGCAGACTATGATTTCAGCTCCTCCCTGTGCTCCTGGCCTTTGTTCACACTAAGCAGATGCGGGGGGGGGGGGCTGAAGGAAGGGGGAAGCTTTGCCCTGTGTACATACTCACAGGCAGCCTTTACTTGTGTTCCCTAAAGGTAACATGGGGGGGGGGCTTGATTTAGTTTGGGGTGGTGGCAACTGAAAAAGAACACAAGCTCACCAGACTCCTGCAACAATCGGAATCAACGACTTGCTTCTTTAGAAGGAAAGTTTATTGATACAGTATTGGCAGGGCATCTCTACTTCAGGTTCTGTGTTAAGGCTAAAGCAAAAAGCGTGGGGTGGACAGATATACATGGTTCAAAGGGGTCACTGGGCGGCATAGAGCCAATTAATGTGAAAAGTGGGGCCCGCCAGAATGTAATGGACCACATTCCCAGGGATGATGTTACTGCCGGGAACCAAGGTCAGGCACATAAAACATACAGATAAGGGAGCATCACCAAGACAGCAAGAGAATCGAAAGTAACACATTCCAAGGAGTTCACTCCTCCTCACACAAGCCTCTATGGCAGCGAGCTGACAGCTACACATGTGAATCCAAGGTGTGTTTATGATAGTGGCTACCTGTAATAAGAGGAGACTGGGTTAGATGTGCTTGATCCCACAAGGCTGTTTTTATGTTACTGTGACGTTTACTGAATGTCTTCCTAAAGGAGAGAACAAAAAGTCTGTGTGTTGGGGGGGAGAGAACTGAAAAATGGGAAGGAGAGGCTCAGTGGGAGCTAACAACACGATAAGAGGGGGTGGGCGAAGGGGGAAGAAGCGGCAAGGGGATGGAGGGTGGCCTGACATCAGGGACAGTGCACTGAGCTGGGACAAGCCCTGCTGGGTCCCTGAAGTCACATCATTTGGGTCAGGTGTTCTGTGCGGTCCTACCCTTTTTGTGTCCACAGTCAGGGTGATTAGGGGGTTAAAAGCCAATTATTGTTCTCTTTTCCTTCACTTCACAGGATGTTTGTGACTTACTCCTCCAAGCTTGTAAATTAGTGCCACTTAATCAAGAGCATCTTGTCAACAAAGTGTGCCAGTTAATTCATCATTTGCTTAACAGATTCCAGGTAAGGGAAATAGGTTATCTCCCCCCCTCCCCTTCTGATCTTCCATATATGTGTGTGTGTTTACGTGTGTTGCTGTTTTGCTTCCATGCTTTGGTATATCTGTGAGCCCAGGTCAGTATAATGCATCTTGGTCTGTGCAACGTAACTCAGCAATAAATAAGGCTAACATCAATGCTTCCACCGTTTCCCAATTTTTCTACACCAGAGGCAATCAATTCATACCAGCTGCATTAAAAGTCTTCAAGGCCAAAGTAATTCCCCAACTCATGTATGGTATTCCAATATGGATAAGCGCACTTAATGGCACCACTGAATGTGTTCAATCTAAATTTCTCCGAAAGATTATGAGAATGCTGCGCTGTGTACCATATGCAGCTCTATGTTTAGAAACCGGGTTAAATTCTGTGGAATCTGGTGCGTGGCTTATGACAGTAAAATATTGTAGACCAAGGGAGCCTTAAACAGCAAATGTTTACAGAGTCAAACATGTCTAACTGGCTATCGTACATTGAGAATAAAATAACTGCCATGGGTATCCCATTGGACTCTCTGTTTATGCTCCCCTTTATAGGCGCTTTTCAGATGATTAAATGCCGAGTCCTCGATATTGAAACACAAAGGCTTCACAGTTTAGCCAACAAATCTTGTTCCCCCCTGAGCTTTGAGATACCCCTCACGGTAGGCCCATTGGCCCCATATCTATCCGGGATACAAGCACCGCAACAGCGTAGAGCCTTTTCTCTATCAAGATTCAATGTAATACTATCAGCAATCTTGCATGAGAGGTATAATAACATAGTATATGCGGATAGACTTTGCCATTGCAACTCTGGATGCATTGAAACTGTTTTGCATGTTTGTCTGCATTGTCAATTTTATGTGGATTTACATTTTAGATATTTAAATCCTCTTAGCCAACATGATGAACCTTCCTGATGCTTTAAAAGTGTACCGTCTTCTAAATGATTCTGTTCCGGAAATATCAATGAACGTAGCCATGTTTTTGCAATCAACGATAAAGCTATGTCGGGAAAACTACCAATGAGTAATTGTTTTGTGCAACACTATGCAATATTATGCAGTTGGTAAAATGCTAGGCTCTATACGTATGGCTGTATATGGTTTAAAATGTATATTTCTTTTTTTATAGTAATCCTCTTTTAAGGTATTTTAATGCCAATAAAGGTTAACTGAACTGATGGCAGTTGTTGTATTCCTCCAGGATTTTATCTTTTCAGTGGAGGAACTGGCAAACTCAGTAGGCACTGGCTGCTTCTGTAGCCATGTTAACTTTTCAGTAGTTGCACTAAAATTTCATTTGGAACAATGTGTTTAAAAAAAATCCCTATGCATTTGGATACTATGCATTATGTAGGCCCTCCCTGCCATGGCTATATTGTGCAAATGTGCGCATACCTTGGAAGTGGGCCCACCCCAAATGGTGGTTTCACTTTCCCCCATGGAATTGCCCTGGAACCATGGGATGATTGCTAGAAAGCCCATCGTGAGGGCAACAGAAGCCCGCCATGACAGTGGCAGGAAGGAGGACTGCTTCAGCCGCAGCAACACAGTGTGCTCCCTTTTAAGTCCTTAATGCAGCTGCTACCAACAGCTGTCAGCAGCTTATCCTGGCCAGGAGAATGAGGGTGGGAACGAGGCTGTGGGGGCAGCCTGAGAGTCCCATGAGACCGGCTGGTTCTTGTGAGGTTCTAGGGGAAGCTGATGGTGCACATGTAGTCTGCTGCAATGGTCTGACAAGGGGCTTAGAAGCACACTGGTGAGGTGGCATGGCTTTTCTCTCTCTCTGGGGACAGAGGAAGAGGAGGAGGTAGTCGAGGAACCTGGTGTTGCAAACTGCCCTCAACTCTCCAGGTCAAGGGGGGGGGGGTGTTCTGAGGATAAGGGGTATGTGGACACCCCTGAACCCTACAGAAGTATTGCAGGTATTTTCCTGCCACGAGTACTTGGATTTGGCTGCCCATTGGATCGTTACAAAAAGCACTGATGCCAGGCTTTTTAATACAGGCCTATGCTTGAGTAGGAGCCTGTAGTTAGTGAAGTGTAGTGACTCCAACTGTATCAGCATCTAGTCAGCAAAACACTGCACTGTGTGTCCAGACGAAGTGCATTTTAAGAGAATTTTCTAGTCTGTTCCAGCTGAAGCTACTTCACTGATGTACATCGTTCCCTGATTTACTGCAGGTGCTGGGTGCCTCCCACATAGTCAGATATTTGTCAAGGTCCGTCCATCCAGGCATGCTAATTAAGCTCACTTAGTTCAGCTGTGGATCTAGGGGGACTAGCTTTCGCCTGGAAGATTCCATGGACACTGTCCATTGATTGGTTGAGAAGGTCTATGGCCTGCAGTTTTATATAAAAGTTGTCAATGAGGAGTGGTGTTATCTGCCTTTAAGCCTTTACCCTTTCCACTCCATGCGGCCAAGAAGACATCTGTATTATGCTCAAGGACTCTTTGCTTCGAGAACCAACTGTGCTGTACTAGGACTCCAGTAAGAGGTAGCTAGTTAGCTTTCTTGTTTTTCTGTGTATTTTACTGCCACTGAACTGCATGCCTTCCTTTAAACCTTTTCCCCTGAATTTCTTTAATGAAGCTTTATTTTGCTTTATGGTGTGTGTTAGTTGAGGAGTTTCTGAGACCAAACCCAAGTAATGGCTTGGTTGCCTTATTGCACCAGGGCAGGGTCCTGTCCTGACACTGTGATAAACTGGAGATGAGCTCCCCTGCTCCCTGGCCTTAAAAACCATGTTTATTTATTTATTATTTTATTATTTATTCAATTTATACCCTGCCCTCCCCATCAAGCCCGGCTCAGGGCGGCTTATATAAAATTTAAAACAATTACAACAATACATTTCTAAAAACCGATCATAAAGTGCTAGTGTGCCAAATTATAAACTGATGGCGAGACATAATAACAAATCATCTTAATAGCAGATCTTTCTCTGGTTACAGGTTACGGTTGATGATGAGAGCCTGCAGTTCCTTGTACCATATTTCATTTCTGCCCTGAAGCAGTGCAGCTCTTGGACACATGTGGAAATTCTGCAGGCCTTGGCAGCTTCCGTCTACAACAATGGACCCAAATGCCAAAAAGTGGGTTAGAGTCCCCTTTTCCGAATGTTTTTCTAGGAGCTTATTCTTGAGTCTCAGTGCTACAGCTAATAAGTATTGTGGTTCTTGATGTGTGTGTCCCTATAATGCCACAAAATATGCTGTTGGGCAGTCATTGCTGAGATGGGGTAGCAAAAAATGGGTGGTGTTTCAGCCCTCGCTGGCATTGCCCTTTTGAGTGCTGCTGTTTGGGATGGCAGAATCATGATGCAAATACAGGGATTTGCTCAAGCCCCCATATTTGTGTGGCGCGACGCTGGCTGTTTGTTGCAACCAATGGAAAGTTTGGGTTCAGATAAATTGGTGCTTGTCTCCTCCTTGCAGTCAGATGGGATGGTTTTTTTGTTTTTGTTTTAAAAAGCTGCAAAAAACTTGCTGAAAGTGAAGCTGATGGATCACTTCAGATAGTCCATTGATGCTGCAATGGCAAAAGCCCTTCCCATGTTTGGTCCATGATTTGTGCAAGTGGGAAACATGGTAGTCTGTGTACTCCTAAGCATGTTCACTCAGGAGTCAGTCCCACAGAGCTTGGTGGAGTGTGCTCCTTAGTAAGCATGGTTAGGATTGCAGCCTAAATCTGTTATAGATAAGGAGAGTGACTGGGAAGTATTACGTACGTTTTGCTCAATTATCTGGGGCTTTTCCCTGTGAGATGGCACACTTGCCTGCTGTATTTACCTTGCATGCTCCATGCTTCAGGAGTTTTGTTTTATAAAATTAGCGGAGAATTTACTGCATGATCCTTCCAGCACGTGAAGAGATCCCAGATCTGCATTGTGACTGTTGCTGGTTTATTTTAGTACCTTCCGGATTTGTTGGGGGAAAATGGACTTCTGGTACAATTCAGCAGCGCATCTCAGCCTGATGCCGAGCTCAAGAGAGCCGCCGTGCACAGCCTGGCAAACTTGTGCCTCAGGTACAGCTGGGGGGGGGGGGGTAGTTGAGGTACTTTGACTTCATATTGTTATACCATGTTAACTCTTGGACTGTAAGGGCTGTTGAAATTAATTGTAAACTCACGTGTACGTTTACTGTGGAGTACTAAACATGCTGACTTGGAAGTAGCATTCATTTCAGTGGCATTTACTTACAATTAACTGTACATTGCTCTGCAGTCCATGTTTTATATATGAATTCATAGAACTGTCAGCTACAGTTATCTGCCTTTTGATTAAACAGTGCAGTCCTACTAAGAACTACTCCAGTCTATATCCAATCATTTCAACAGGCTTATGTTGGAGTAACTCTGCACTGTATTGCCCTGTAAATCACAACCTAAAATTGCTAGAAGCTACCACTCATTGATTTTATAACAATGTTGAACTCATTTGTTTGTATTCCAGATTCTGTTTTCCTTTTCATTCCTTGTTCCCATACCTGAAAGCTTCCCATTCATATTTTCTCTCTGCAATTAGTCAACTCAAGTGTATGTTGAATGATCTACTGATAAAATTGATTACAGGTTGCAGCCGAAGTAATGGCCGTGTTGCATTTTGGTCCACATTTTTTTCCTTGTAGAGTGATTGCTTATGGTAAATTCTTTGAGCACTTAGAAGCAAGGTTAAGTATAAGAACTTGAGAAACAATGGTCTGGATGACTTTTTGTATTCCATCTCCCCCCCCCCCTTTCACAACTTTTGACATTTTGCTGCCTTGTTTCTTTCACATCTGGAACACTGAGTGCTCTAAACTTAAGTGACTCTCCCCTACACACATATCTGAATTATTTGATGGCATGCAAGCCATTTACTACGGGGTGCATATGGGTGTTGTTGTTTTTTTGCAGTAATCTCTATGGCTCTGATTTGGGTGTACTTGTTTTAGTGTACCTGGACAGCTGTATCTAGAGGAACCTTACAAAGAGATCTGCTTTCGCACATTCCTCAACGTGTTACAGTCTTCAAAAGGACCTGGTGTGGATGAGATCATCTTTTGCATGGTAGGTTTAAGTCGGACCCTCTGGGGAGGAGAGTTGTTGGGTCCCTGTGCTCCTTACTTTAGGAATATGCGCAGTTCTTAAGGTCATGGTCCTCTCCTCTGAAACCTTCCACTCTCTGAGGATGGCTCACTGGCAAACCAGAGCAAAGCTGAGTGGTATACTAGCCCACTTGCCCTTTCCCCCATTCAAATACCCAGTTAAACAATGTTTTTATTCATCCTGCCTTTTGCAGTTTGATATTTTAAATGTTTTTGCCATGCTTTATTGCTGGTTTTGTTTGCTGAACTTTTATTTCCTTACTTCGTTTATACTCTGCCTTTTTCTGTAATGGGGGACCCAAAGTGGTTTACACTGCTGTTGTTTCCTCCATTTTTATCCTCACCACGGCCGTAACCTTTTGTAGGTGAGGCTGAGTGTGTGATTGGCCCACGGTCACATAGCAAGCTTCCATAACAGAGTTGAAATTCAAACCTAGATCCTAGTGTGACCCCTTAACCACTGCACCATGCTGATAGTGTGTATTAGTGGTTTTTAATTTTAGACCTGATTTTGCTACATTGCCTTGCATACTTCTATATAAGAACATAAGATCCAATGTTGGATCAGGCCAAAGGCCCATCCAGTCCAACAGTCTGTGTCACACAGTGGCCAGAAATACCAGGTGCCATCAGGAGGTCCACCAGTGGGGCCAGGACATTAGAAGCCCTCCTACTGTTGACCCCCCCCCCAAGCACCAAGAAGACAGATGTGTTAATCACTCTTTGGGTGAAGAAGTACTTCCTTTTATCCGTTCTAACCCGACCGCTCTGCAGTTTCATGGAGTGCCCACGAGTTCTTGTATTGTGAGAAAGGGAGAAAAGTACCTCTTTCTTTACCTGCTCTTTCCCATGCATAATCTTATAAACCTCGATCATGTCACCCCTCAGTCGTCTTTTCTCCAAGCTAAAGAGCCCTAAGCGCTTTAACCTTTCCTCATAGGGAAAGTGTTCCAACCCTTTTATCATTCGAGTTGCCCTTTTCTGCACTTTTTCCAAAGCTATAATATCCTTTTTAAGGTGTGGTGCCCAGAACTGCACACAGTATTCCAAATGAGGTCTCACCATTGATTTATATAGGGGCATTATTATATTGGCTGATCTGTTTTCAATACCCTTCCTAATAATCCCCAGCATAGCATTGGCCTTCTTTATTGCAGTCACACACTGTCTCGACATTTTCAGTGAGTTATCCACTACAACTCCAAGATCTCTCTCTTGCTCAGTCTCTGCCAGTTCAGACCCCATCAATGTGTATTTATATTTAGGATTTTTGGCTCCAATGTGCATCACCTTGCACTTGGCCACATTGAACCCCATTTGCCATGTTGACGCCCACTTGCCCATCTTTGACAGATCCCTTTGGAGTGCCTCACAATCCTCACTGGTTTTCACCACCTTGAACAACTTTGTATCATCCGCAAATTTAGCCACTTCACTGCTTACTCCCATCTCCAAATCATTAATGAACAAGTTAAAAAGCAGTGGACCAAGTACTGATCCCTGCGGTACCCCACTGCTTACCACCCTCCACTGAGAAAATTGCCCATTTATACTCACTCTCTGTTTTCTGTTAATTAGCCAGTTTTTGATCCATAAAAGGACTTGTCCTTTTATCCCATGATTTTTGAGCTTACTTAGGAGCCTTTGATGAGGAACTTTATCAAAAGCTTTCTGGAAGTCAAGGTAAACAATATCTATTGGATCCCCCTTGTCCACATGTTTGTTCACCCCCTCAAAGAACATTAACAGGTTTGTGAGACAAGATCTTCTCTTACAGAACCCATGCTGAGTCTGCCTCAATAGGTTTTGTTCATCTATGTGCCTACTAATTCTTTCCTTAATAATGGTTTCCACCAATTTACCCAGTATCGACGTCAGACTGACTGGCCTGTAATTTCCCGGATCTCCTCTGGAACCCTTTTTAAAGATGCGAGTGACATTAGCTACCTTCCAGTCCTATAGTTGAAGGACTGGATGTAAATTTCTTAAAATAAGTTAACTAGAGCACATCTCTCTTTATATATAATTCTGTTTTGGGGTGAACGTTTCACACGCTCCCACAGCATTTGGCTGGCTGACCTGTCACTTCAACGGTGTGCCAATCCAGTGGCTGCGTTGTTGGAGTCCCGCCCACAGAAGGGGCAGCCAGCGCCTCAGCCTCAGTGTCGTGCTAATGCGCCCTGCCGTGTGGTGTGCCACCACCCTGGGCATCCACGGGTCTCCCCCCCCCCCGCCAATTCGAGGGCACGAGAGCTGCTGGCTGCCCGCACCAAGTTCCTATCAGAAATCGAGGCGGCTGCAGCCCCCTTTCCAGCGGGACAGAGTGCAAGCTGGATCTAGATTGAGTTCTTCTATGCACTTCCCGCAGCCCGACGCCATGGTGGAGAAGGCGGCCAAGGAGGAGGGCAAGGCCGAGGCCAGTGCTGGCTCAGCAACTTGGGACAGCACTCCGTGGCTGAGGCCAGTGGAAATGCGTGGCACAGAGAGAGGCCTGTAAGCTACTTTCTAGAGCTCATTGTATTGCTTCTACAACGGGCTTTGCTACTAGTTGTGAATAATCACTAACCTGGTCAAAAGTCAGAATTTCTTCCAGGTGACCAGACTTGGATGCCTTTGTAAATACTAAGTGTGTTCATTCTTTTGGGATATTAATGTGTTACAGAGATGTGTTTAATATATTGCACAGACCATATGGAAAGCGACTGAGCTCTGCTTGCTTAGAATCCCTCCTCTTGCTGGCTGTCTTCATGGCGCGCATTTCTCTAGGCAGCACATGCCCCTGCCTCGTCCTGTGTTCCCAGGGAACAGAGCCCCAATCAAGTCCTGTTTCTCTTAAAATGTATATCCTTCCACACAGATCGTTGAAGTTGTCAATGGCAACAGGAAATATATTCAGAACCGAAGAGCAGCTGCAAAACAACATAAAAAACAGACCAGCTTAGAAATAACTAGACAAGGAAGCCAGGTCCCAGATAACAATAAAAACCTGATATCCCCTGTCTTGTGTCTCTGCATAGGTTGTCTGTCCACTAGAGTCAGTCAGTCCAGTTTATTTTGGTACATAACTAGCACAAATCAGTTATAAACATAGTTGGAAACCATACTCTAGGTACACAGCCATTAAATTGGAAATAGATAAAAAATTTAAAATACAAGTATCTTTTTAAGAAGACAAAACTTTTAGACTTTCAAAAATTAAGAACTTCAAAAGGCTCAATAATTATCTATATCACTCCTTAATGTGTTCTTTGCAGATTTTGTAGGCTTGCAGCTAAGAATCTGGCGCAAGCATGCATAGCCAGTAGGCCTTAGAAGGGCATTAAAGCAATTTGGCCTTTACTGTGATTTAAATCACCTGCAAATCAATTATCAAAAGACTTTGGCTCAAAACCTAAGGCAAGGGTGTGGCGTATAAATGGCCATAGGTTACAACAGGTGTCCACTAGAGTGATCAAGGCTGCCTCAGGGTCAAACTGGACATTACGGTGTCCACAGGTCCAACCCATGGATGCTGATTCCATTTCAGAGCTGAACGTGGCCATTTAAAAATGCCAGGAGGGCCTGATCAGGATTCAGCATGGCAGGATCACAGCAAAACAGCCCATTTTGGCACTTCAAAATGTGCAGGAGTGGGTTCGGGGAACGAGACCACCTGGTCTCACTGTGCTGGAGGCTCAGTCAGGATTGGGCCCTTGTAGCATTTTTAAATAGATGACTTCAGCTCTAAAATAGAGTGCACATACACCATAAGATCTTGTCTGGCCCTGCCGGCGCTAAGCCTGCAGCCAGACTGATACCCGTCTAGATAAACCCTGGGCCTTGATTGATATCTTTGCTAAGTAAAAGATAAAGGTTCCCTTGCTCGAAAGCCAGTCAAATCCGACTCTAGGGTTGCGGTGCTCATCTCCGTTTCAAAGCTGAAGAGCCAGCGCTGTCTGAAGACGTTTCCGTGGTCATGTGGCCGGCATGACTAAACACCAAGGCGCACGGAACGCTGTTACTTTGCTATCTTTCTTTGCTAAGATAGGCTAGTAATTACCCTTATCTTGGAGATCCCATGATTTTTAACCTAAAGTTGCTGTTTGAGGCCTTCTTAACAGGGGCAGAAGCATTCACTTCCTGAAAACAAGCATTCACTACTCTCTGGATTTTCTCGATCTTCTGTAGTTTGTCAGAAACAACTAAGATGGACCAAGATTTGAGTGCACAGTGAAGGTGGGATTGCCGGCTGGACTTTTTCCTCCTTGAGCATTTCCTGCGGCTTATCTTCCCTGTTCTTTCAACTGCTGTCTATGAGAGGGCACGCAAGAGATGTCAGTTCAGATGAGTGGTGCCTGGGGTGAACATCCACCTCTCAGACAGCTGTTTGGACTAGCTTCATGTAAGCACAAGCACACGTCAGCCTGTAAGGGCTCATAGCATGCTGTGAAGGGAGAGGCCGCAAGCAAAAGGAGAGTCATGGACATGTGGCTGAGGCCTGACCCGGCTTCCTCAAAGTACTCTCCATTTAAGTTCCCCTGGGATTTCTTAAGTAGTAGGCTGCTCTCTCTTTAGCGCTGTCTATTCATGGTCAGTCTCTTGGTGGAAGAGGACTCTTTAAAATTGATTTTATTTATTTACAGAATTTGTATCATGCCTTTCTGCCTGTACAAGGGCTACCAGGGTGGTTAACAATTTAAAACATAAGAACATAAGAGAGGCCAGTGTTAGGTCAGGCCAATGGCCCATCCAGTCCAACACTCTGTCACACAGTGGCCAGGAATACCAGGGGCCATCAGGTGGTCCAGCAGTGGGGCCAGGACACTAGAAGCCCTCCCACTGTTGACCCCCCCCCCCGGCACCATGAATACAGAGCATCACTTGCCCCAGACTGAGAGTTCCTATCTATCTCCTTGCGGCTAATAGCCACTGATGGACCTCTGCTCCATATGTTGATCCAATTCCCTCTTGAAGCCGTCCATGCTTGTAGCTACCACCACCTTCTGTGGCAGTGAATTCCATGTGTTAATCACTCTTTGGGTGAAGAAGTACTTCCTTTTATCTGTTCTAACCCAACCGCTCAGCAATTTCATGGAGTGCCCACAAGGAGTTCTTGTATTGTGAGAAAGGGAGAAAAGTACTTCTTTCTCTACCTGCTCTATCCCATGCATAATCTTGTAAACCTCAATCATGTCACCCCCTCAGCCGTCGTTTCTCCAAGCTAAAGAGCCCCAAGCGCTTCAACCTTTCTTCATAGGGAAAGTGTTCCAACCTTTTTATCATTTTAGTAGCCCTTTGATGCACTTTTTCTAATGCTATAATATCCTTTTTGAGGTTTGGTATTCTTTTTGAGGTGAGGTATTCTTGGTCAGTGTCTTGCCAGTGAGCTCCCCCTCACTGGCAGTCTTCATGAAGCGGCTAGACAAGGACTTGTCCAGGATGCTCTAGGCTGATCCTGCATTGAGCAGGGCGTTGGACTAGATGGCCTATATGGCCCCTTCCAACTCTGTGTGATTCTATGATTTAAATTTTAAAACCATTAAAAAAACCCTCCCCCTCCCAACCACACATAATTGGAGCAATAAAAAAAAAGAGTTAAAATGCATAGAAAACATAATATTAATTCTACTGCTGGTGGGAAACCGCGACAGAAGGGAACAGATGGATCTCCCTGGGAGGAGACCTCCAGAGCTTTCATGCAAACTCCTCCCTCCATGAGCCAAAGGTGATTCTTGGGCTAAAACAGCTTGCGAATTGTGCCATCCCTGATGGGCGAGATGGTGTAGAAATCTTCTCGCTTCTGTTTATTGGAGGAAATCTTTGCTTTGGGATTCTAATTGCCTAAGTGCTTAATGCTAATTAGGTAGCATGCTGCAATGCTGTGACCTTGAAGGATGGTAATGAAGCACAGCTAATTTGTTTCTCCCCCTCCAGTTGTTGCAGAACGCGTTGAAAGGTATCCAGTCGCTCTTAAATGGTGGGGAGCTGAAGCTGATGCAACCCGATCAACTTGGGTCCCTGCTTGCTGTGTTAAAGGTGACACCTGTCTTTAACCTGGAGGTCTTCCTGGCACTCTCTGAGGGGACCGTCAAAGGCTGTTATGACTGCTGCTGCTATTAGTTAAAACACTTTAATGGCTGTGGCACAATAAACTTGGTGGGAAGACTTCCCTGCCTGATAGGGCCTGCCCTTTCCCAGATCTCCTGCCTCGTAGTCTTCTTAAAGAGTAAGCCCTTCTGGACTGGAGCAGAGGTGCATCTGACTGGTGGAGGCTGTCTAATGTCTCCAGTCGGTTCTATGAGGTCCTTTCGGCTGGAGACGTCAGCAGCGATCTGTGCCCTTTCCTACCTGCAGGACATGTGTGAGCCGCACTGTTGGTCACCTAGTAGCTCAGCAGCATACAACAGAAACCTCCACCCAGTTCTGCATCCTGTTTCTCACAATGTCCGCCCTAATCATGCTTTTGGGAAGCCCGCAGACTAAGCATGGGCAGTAGCCCTTTCCCTTCGGTATTCCTCACAGCTGCTGTTCAGTAGTACGTTGCCTCTAAACATGCAGGTTCTATGTAGGCCGTGCGGCGAACAACCATCGATAGAATTAATACCATCCATGAATTAATACCAGCTAAACTCAATGGGGGCAGTAATACTTTGGAGCCATCTTTCAGTACAGTAAGCTCCTCACAGTTTACCCTAGTGGAGGTTCAAATGCTTTTGTGAATTGTGGGTTTTGCTGCAGGCTTAATTTCCCCCCCGAATGCAGACCTGCGCAGCGGGGCACATATTGCATTCAGCCTGAAGCAGACCTGATTTTGAACTTCCTTTGTCTTTTAGAAGTAATTTTCTCTTGGTGGAGCGGGAAATGATTGAGCCAAAGTTGTGTAGTAGTTAGCGTGTTGGACTAGCATTGGAGCGCAATCCCTAACCACTGGCGATCATACAGTGCCCCTTGCATCCATATGAGACTTATGCAGGCATTGCCCATGCAAATGCAATCATATCTGCATAAGCATAAAATTTAGAAACTTCCTTTTTAAAAACTGACATTTACTGGAAAGTGAATTCTGTCATGTTGTGTACTTTTTGTGTGCTCCTGTGGATTTGCGCAGCCCTACAATAACTCTTCAGAGATACACTCAGCCCTGCAGTGACTTCCTGAAGGGTGTGCTTTTTAGTCGCGGGGGCTTGAAATAACACTTTTCTAAGTCCAGGAGCATCATTTTCAGACTCCAAACCCCTCCTGTTGCAGGATGGACTAAATGAGCCCCAAGTCACTTCCCACACTGTGATTCTGTGCAGTACTGTTGCTGCCACTATGTTATTCCTCTTATCAGCACAGATGGGCCAACATGACAATGATTTTTATTTATTTTGACTTCATTTAAAGTCCACATGGGGATCTCAGGTGGCTTCCATTTAATCCATACAACAGCCCTGCGAGGTGGGGTAGGCTAAAAGTTTGTGACTTTTGTGTCTCCCAGCAAGCGTTCACAGCAGAGTGGGGATTGGAACCCAGGTCTCCCCGATCCTCGTCCAGTACTCTAACCACTGCATTACACAGTTCTCACACAGGTTCCTTTGGACCTACTTGGATAAATCCTGACAATATTTATGAGTTCTCAGCTTATTCTGGCCTCACTGATGTCACCTTGGGGTGATGGAGGGTGTGTGTGTGTGTGTGTGTGTGTGTGTGTGTGTGTGTGTGTAAAACATGGCCATGCCATTTTGCAGTAAACGGGACCAGCTGAATCTTGCACTCTGCCATGCACATGTGGCATTATAACGATTAAGTTTTTGTTGCTGATTTAGAAGTGTGTGTTCCATGGGCTTCCTGGAGTGAACTTAGAAATGCCAGCTATCTTGTACCCAACGCTGCTTCCTCAGTATGACAACAGGTCACCGGTTGAACAAGAGAAGTCTGAAGTGTGCAACTTGAAGCCACCAGTGGTAAGTGTTCTGTATTGTCTTCCTGTTTCCATCTATTCAGCATTAGGGATTATCCACAGTCTGCACCCAGAACAAGTGGGGTGAACTTGCGTGTGTTGCTGAACTCTGCTTCCTTTATACCCTTTGTCTTTCTCCCCAGTTTGAGCCCAAAGCAGCTGACCTAATTTTCCTTCTCTCTATTTTATTCGCACAACCACCTTGTGGGATAGGATGTGCTGACTGTGTGTGATTGACCCAAGGTCACCCAGTGAGCTTTCCTGGGAAAGTGGAGATTCGAGCCTGAGTCTCCCATACCCTGGTCTGACACCCTAACCACTGTGCTCCAAGGACAGAATCCACTGGGTCATTGCAAGGGAATAGTATCTGTAGGAGAGGGAAAGGCAGTGATCCCTGCTCTGAACATGAGCTTCTCTATAATCATATCGATTAATAACTGTCACTCTGTCAAAACTCTGTTTACAAGAACACTTTATTTTCAGTTCTTTCTTGTAAAAGGAATTTGTGCTGGAGTGGTGCATGTAAATGAGACATTTCTGGCTCAAGCCCTGCTTCAACCCTGAGCACACTGAGTAAGCCCGGGCCAACTACGTTCTCTCACTGTTGTAATGTGGAGAGGCTAAGGGGGACAATCACCGGGTTGGCTTCGTTGGCCGTTTAGTGCCACCTGCCCTGTCCCTCCTCTGCAAGGGGACTGGGAGGGGAGAAGGCCAGCTCTCGTCCCTCAAGTAGCAGTGAGCCTCAGAGATACCTGTAAGCTCAGAGCCATGCACCCCCCACACACACACTTTCAAAAGCCCAGCGTGAAATCAGAAATGGAGCTCCCACAATGGTGTGGGGTCTTGTGAGCAAAAATTCTACTTTGTGAGCTACCGGCATTAAAGTTGTGATTTGTCTGCTGCAGAAAGTAGTCTGCTCCGGAGCCATCTTTCCTATGACAAAATGTGCCAGCCGAAGGCTAAAAAACTGTGAGCTAGCTCACCCTAACTCAGCTTAGAGGGAACACTAGCTGCCACCCATCTGTTGCTTTCCGCCTGGGGCAAGCAGTCCCCATCCTCAGAGTTATGGTAATAATGCTGATTTGCTTTATTTGCTTTCAAAGTAGCTGAGCAAATGTGCTGAGTGCTTCAGGAAAGCGCTTTGGAACTGGCTGAAATGAATATATGGAGTTATTATCAAACCTTTTATATGGATAGCATCATTAACAAGAGACTCCCTTTATGTTATTTAGAGCTTCATAAATCGGGAAGAGCACCTTAAACTGTATCCAGAAGCTTAGAGTAAGTTGGGTACACCTGGCTTTAAAATGTCCAAGCAAAGTGCTGTATTCAGTCGCTTTTTTCAAGTGATCTGGTAGACCTCAGCATGTAATTCTTAATGTTGCATTGCCTCTTTCTGTAGGAGATTTCATTTGTTCATTTTTACTCCATCCAGCATAGCAGAAGGAAAAAATCCAAGGCAAAGCAAAAGAAGGGGAAGCAGGAGGGGGAGCCCAAAGAAGATGAGGAATGCAGTGGAGGAAGCGAGAAACCCACGTTATCTGAAGATTCACAGGAGAATCCTGGTCCAGATGTGCAGAGGCTCTCTCTGGATGAGGCACGGGCAGTAGCCATGAAGGATCATCTTTCTTTGCACACACCGGGCTGGAAAAGAATCAGCAGCAGCGACTCCGAGTATTCTGATGCTGAGTGTGGAATGCAGAGCAAAACCAGGTTTGTGGCTGCAAACAGGTGAAGGCCTCCCAGCACTTGGGTTTGTGTCGTCAGAGTCTGTTGCTTGCTTAGCACCCAACACCAGTTCTGTGCGTGGGCAGTTCTAATGTTTACTGAAGTTTTCACGAGGAATATACCAGAGCAATACAGATTGCAGTGTTAATAGGTATGCCCATTAGTCTTGTCTCTGCCTATTCTCTGCACCTTGTAACGTGTTCTTGGTACCGATGTGCTTGTGAGAAAGAAAGAGATTACTGTTAACACATTTTTAGACAGGAGTTAGGGCGTTAAATAGGTGTTTTGAGTTTTGAATGCATATATTTAGGAGGGATGCTAAGATGAAAAACCAGGAGTCTGTTGATTGGAAGTCAACTGGCATATGATTGGTGGAACGTGTAGCCCTCCTCCATTCAGTTAGAGAATTCCCCCTCCCTTATAGAATCTTAGTGAGAAGAAGCTGCAGTTGGCTGTTGGAGGAGGGCAGTTGAGGGCTGAGGCCAGCAGGAGTGATGAAGACGAGGGAGTGAGTAAAAATCCAGGAGTGTACTGGCTGAAGCCTGGAAAGTTAGCACAAAGGAAGCTTTTGTTTTTACAAGATTTAGAAGAAGAAGAAGAGAAGAGGTTGGATTTATACCCCACCCTTCACTCAGAGTCTCAGAGCGGCTTACAAACTCCTTTCCCTTCCCCTCCCCACAACAGACACCCTGGGAGGTAGGCGGGGCTGAGAGAGCTCTCACGAAGACTGTCCTTGAGAGAACAGCTCTGACAGAACTATGGCTTGCCCAAGGTCATCCAGCAGCTGCATGTGGAGGAGTGGGGAATCAAACCTGGTTCTCCCAGATTAGAGTCTGCGCGCTTAACCACTACGCCAAACTGGTGACAGTTAACAGTTTAAAATTTGGGAGATCCCCGAGATCTGTTACAGTTAATCAAGCTGGCTGAGTTGCTTAGCCAGGAGGGTATGTTTGAACTTACGATTCATGTTGCTGAAACAGATGTTGATATATGTTACAATATTTTATGTTTTATTTTCACAGTAAACTGGTTTACAGTCTATTGTAAACCTCTTGTGTCTGTTGCCCAGGAAGTGATTTGCCCTTTAAACTGGGACTTCTCTGTAAGTTTTGGTAAAGCTGATAACGGCATACTCAGAGGTGCAGTTTAAAGAAAAGCTGTGACAGGTAGCGGCAGAAAGGAGGGAGAGACCCCGGCAGGGAACAGTGAAGCCCCTCAGAGGAACCAGGAGTAGCAGTTGGGACGCAGGAATGAGGTGATGGTCTCCATTCTGCCACAGCATATAAGCAAATCATTTTATTTCATTTAAAAATATTTAGACTCCACTTTATCTTCTCAGACGCATGGCAGCTAACAAAAGCTAGAAGAACACAGAAAGATCATGAGCATTCAGCTGCAAATTAAAAAGCCATTCACAGAGTCAAAAAAACCAATACACCGTGCTAAAACAGCCAAATCTGCCAAAGCAGTTTATACTTCACAAATGTCGTCTGGAGTCAGTCTGTCTGATGAGTGTGGCCAGTGGTGGTGCCTGCCGCACCTGTTCTGGTGGGCCATTCCGGAGGACTGGACCTACCCCAGAGGAAGTCCACACTAGCTGAAGGGGAAGGGTGTCTTAAGTAATGGCACATGGTGCTAGTTCTTGGATTGGTTGCTGAATTTAGTTGGGTTTAACCCAAGTATTTCTCCAGCTGCGAGCAGTTTTCAGCAGATTAAGAGGTTCTTGTATTTGGCCTAGAAATTTTGAAGCTGGCTCTGGTTGAAAAAAATGGAAATCTTGGGAAAATTTGAAATCCTTTCTTATCAAACCTATTAATGCATCATTTATAACTTACACTTGAAAATTGTAAAATTTGGCATATTGATGAATTTACAAGTATAAATGCCTTAGTTTTCAAAAAGCAAAATTGTGAATATACCCAATATGGGGGGGGGGTGCTGAAAACTACTATATCCTCAGCTTTCTTGGAATGTATGTCTTAGATTTTGCCACCTGAGAGTTAAGACAATATAAAAATTAAAAATGGAGAACATAAATATTTTAGCAAACAAAAGGAAGTGTATTATTTGAATAGTCTCATGACCATAGTAGTGCCAATAGGGTGAATATAAAGTTAAACCTTGTAACACTGAAAACACTGAACTCTGCAGAAATGTATAGCAAAGTTTTTGTAGACAAACTTGGTCACATTTAAATAATACAATGCATTTTCAAGGATCTGTGTATCTACAGTATGTGTGCGTACTAAGTGCTGTCTAGCTGCTTCTGACTCAATGGCAACCCTGTGAACTAATGTCGTCCAAAACATCCTATCTTTGATAACCTTGCTCAGGTCTTGCAGACTGCTGAGGGCTGTTTCTTCCTTTATAGAGTCAATCCTCTCCTGTTGTGTCTTCCTCTTTTCCTACTGCCTTCAACTTTTCCTATCATTATTGTCTTTTCCAGTGACACTTGTCTTTTCAGTATATGCATGAATTATCGTTATCCAATGCCAGATCTTTGCAAATTTTTCTTGCATCTAGGAGCCACTCCTATAATTTAGTAGATTAATTTTGGAGCCTCCAGGGTTTTGTATTTTAGCAACTCCTATTTTCTAAGTATCGCTGCCACAAAACGTAATCCTATCCTTTTAATAGTTTCTTATGATTTTATTAGTTACTAGCCTGATACCCATGCTTCGCTACGGTATTTAACTTCTGTAAATCCAGTTATAATACTGATGATGTAAAGTCTGAAATGTAACATTTGTTGTAGGAATTCTAATGGAGAAGATTGTAGTGTAAAAAATGAAGAATTTATTCGTAAGTACGGTCAGGAATTTAATATTCAGGAGTCAGAAGATAGCAGCTTGGAGGAAAAAGATCAACAAACGGAGGGTGAAAGAGATAGGACTTCTCAATATAAAATTAGAAAGAGATACAGGAAAGAAAAATTTCTCCCTCTGCAAGTACGTACGAGGCACCAATTAAGGTCTGAAACAAACCAAGATGACAACAGTTCTGAACATTAAATTAAATATAATATCGATTAATGTGAACGGCTTAAATAACCCCTCAAAGAGAAAAAGGGTTTCTCTCCAGATAGGAAAACTCAAACCGCAAATAGTATGTCTCCAAGAGACACATGTTAAACTTTCACAAATAAAGCATTTAGAAAATAAACAATTGGGTGTGGCTTTTATTTCAATGGCCAAAAAGAAGAAGAAAGGATTAGTAACTTATATGAAATACTATTTAAACCCAGAGTTGGTTTATGACTCAGGAGATGGGAGGATTTTAATAGTTAACGTTCAGAGAGGGGCTAAAACACTGCTAATAGTTAATATTTATGCCCCAAATCAGGATCAAAAGGAATTTTTTATCGGATTCTGGACATACTAGCAAAATATACAATGGAGGAAATCTGCTTGTTAGGTGATTTTAATGCAGTGTTTGATAAAACAATAGACAGAAAGAAAAAATCAATTAAGTACTCCGGTTCCGAGTTACCAAGCTCCTTTTTGATGATGGCAGATGGCTGGAATCTTGTAGATGTTTGGAGACTCAAAAATCCTACGAAGAAAGATTACACCTTCTATTCAGGGCGTCATAAATCATGGTCTAGGATTGACATGATCTGGATTTCCGCCTCACTTCTTACTATGATAGAGGATGTGGATATTCTTCCGATGACTTTCGCAGACCACTGTCCGGTTACTGTATCAATACTAGACATACCCAAAAGAACGCGTTGGAAGCTAAATAATACATTATTAAAAAATAAGGTTTTTGTGGACAGAACAAAGAAAGATATTAATGAATTTTTTAAGTTTAATAAGCATGTAGATTTGCCGATAAATATCATATGGGATACTTTTAAGGCCTTTGTATGGGGAATCTTCATTAGACAAAGTATAAACAATAGAAAAATAGAGAATCAAAAAATAAACCCAGCTGTCAGAACAAATCCACAAACAAGAAGAAGAGCCTAAGAAGAGTTTAGCACCAGATAAACTTAGAGTAAAAATCCAAATATTACAGCATGAGTTAAATTGTCTATTAAATCAAGAAATTGCCAAGAAGGTCTTATATACAAGACAAAACTTCTTTGAAAACTCAAACAAACCTACACGTTGGTTGGCACACAGATTAAGATGTGAGGAAAAAAAGAGATATATTAGGGTTCTACGTAATGAGCATAGTGAGGAAAAAAGCTGCGCACATGACCTGAAAGAGATTATGAAACAATTTTATGAAAAATTGTATAGAAAACAGGTGTCAGATCTAGAGGATACTCAGAAGTATCTGAGGGAAAACCTATATAAGAAAAAACTGGATAGTACTCAACAAAAGTTGCTAAACCAGGTATTTCTAACCCAGGAAATAGTGGAAGCTATCAGAAAACAGAAAAGAAATAAAACACCAGGTCCTGATGGACTCCCGGCGGAATTCTGTACAACTTTAGAAGAAGAGCTTACAGCCCCATTTAAACAGGTGATACAAGAGATCCCACAAAAGAAAACGCTCCCTGATTCCTGGAATTCGGCCCTAATCTCGCTGATACATAAGAAACATTCGGACCCAAAAGAAATTCGGAATTATCGTCCCATTTCTTTACTGAGCGTGGGCTACAAGATCTTCGTGACAATTATAGCAGCGTGGTTAAGAAGAGTACTTGCTGAGATAATTCACCGAGATCAGGCGGGTTTTTTACCTCATAGACAGGGATGATACAATTTAAGAATAATTATGAACGCTTTGGAATACGCGGAGGCACATCCAGATAAACAGTTGGCAATAGTGTTTTTAGACGCCGAGAAGGCGTTCAACAATATCAGTTGGGACTTTATGATTGAATACCTAAGAACATCTAGTTGTGGAGAAGCTTTTATCAATACTATAGAAGCTATCTACACTAAACAGAGCGCCAGAATTCTGATAAATGGAGACAATGACAACTGAATTAAATATTTCTAAAGGTACACACCAAGGATGTCCCTTATCTCCGTTACTTCTCATATTTACCATGGAGGTATTGCTGGAGAACATAAGAAAGGACAAGTGTTTAAGGGGAATTAAAGTCAAAGGGGAAGAATATAAAACACAAGCGTATGCAGACGATTTAGCAATAATATTAACGGAGCCACTGGACTCTGTGGATAGGTTAATGGAACTGTTAAAGGCGTTTGGTCCATTAGCAGGTTTTAGGGTCAATGTGATCAAAACCCAGCTTATGATGAAAAATTGTACCAGGCAACAAACTTTAGACCTTCAAAAAAAGACGGGATTTGACGCCCCAAATAAGGTCAAATACTTAGGTATTTATATGACAAACAGGTTAAGTTCTTTGTATGAAGATAATTACGATAAATTGTTGGCACAAATCAAGAAAAATTTGAATAAATGGGGACAATTGCAACTATCGTTGATGGGGATGAATGTTTTGCCAAGGGTATTGTTTTTGTTTCAAAGTATTCCGGTTTTGGGTAACTTGACTTTTATAAAGAAATTATAAAAATTGGTAAGGGATTTTATATGGCAAAAGAAGAAATCACGAGTTAAACTTAAACTTCTCCAAGAAAAAACAGAAAGGGGAGGTTTAGCATTACCTGAATGGCGCTTATATTACCAGGCAGCCTCAATGATATGGATTTGTGATTGGGTCCAATTAAAAGACTCAAGGATTTTAAAACTTGAGGGGCATGATTTAGGTACAGGATGGCATGCCTTTATGTGGAATCTTAGACTATGTCTACTCACTTTAATCATCATTTATTGAGAAAAGCCTTGCTAAAAATCTGGATGGAGATTAAGAAATTATTTTATAGAAAAATTCCGGCATGGGTGGCCCCTCTGGAAGCTATTTCTATTCCAAACTTGATGTCTAGAATCAGCTTGGGGTTCAAGGAATCTCACTGTCCTGGTGGGAGAGGAATCAGCTTGTATCTAGGTATCGGAAAGATAAACAGATAGGTATCTATGTTGAGTATGCTGAAATTGACAAGATACTGATGGGTGCGGGAGATAAACTTATTCGAAAATTTTACAATTTCCTGTTGGACAAAAAAATGCAAGACGAAGAAGTTAAAGCGACAATGATTTCTTGGGTCAGAAATATTGGTCATAATATAAAATGGGTCAAATGGGAAAAAATGTGGCAAAATATGAGAAGGATGAAAGCAACCTCGATGAAAGAAAACCTTCTTAAAATATTTCACCGATGGCACTTAACTCCAGCGGTATTAGCTCGATGCTACCCTAATCTGTCGGACAGATGCTGGAAGTGCAAAATGGAAAAGGGGACTTATTTCCATGCTTGGTGGTCGTGTAGAATATCACAAAGGTACTGGAAAGAAATCTACGGAATCATTTTTCAGATGACTATGCTGAGAATTCCATATGAGCCAGAGATATTTCTGCTAAATATTATGCCTGATAATGTAAAGAAGGCAGATGTACACTTGATTACGCATCTGCTCACGGCAGCTAGGATCCTGTTCGCAAAATACTGGAAACAGGAAGATATACCGTCTAGAGAGGAATTTATAGTTAAAGTTACAGAAATAGCCGAATTGGATAATCTGACAATGAAGCTCCAAGGGAAGGATGATGATGTGTTTGATAATATCTGGTTAAAACTTTATAGTTGGTTACAGAAGAATGTCTAGATTAATTGATAGGCTCAAAAATTGGAGGGAAGGTATTGTTGCTCATAGCAGATATGTAAATTATGTTAAGGAATCCATGTTTATGTTGGTTATGTTTTGTTACAAACATTAATAAATAGCATGTAAAAAAAATGAAGTGAGACGTACGTACTTTTCTTTTTCCTCTACTGAAGGACCTTGCTGTAGACTGCTGGGGCGGGCTCCCTCATGGCTTTAAGCACCCTGCAATCGCTGCTGCACCTGACAGACAACCGCATATGTAAATTATGTTAAGGAATCCATGTTTATGTTGGTTATGTTTTGTTACAAACATTAATAAATAGCATGTAAAAAAAATGAAGTGAGACGTACGTACTTTTCTTTTTCCTCTACTGAAGGACCTTGCTGTAGACTGCTGGGGCGGGCTCCCTCATGGCTTTAAGCACCCTGCAATCGCTGCTGCACCTGACAGACAACCGCCTGTTAGTTGTAGGAGGTGGGGGGAGTATGTTGGAAGCCATCAGAGAGGCTGGGCCAGCAGCATCGCTAAGGTGATCCTGCTAGGACAGTGTCCCTGATGTATTAAAGTACCCTGGTCCTACTGCTACACCTGACAGCCTGTCTGGTTTTGGGGGGGATTATGTTTAAAGGCATCAGGGAGGCTGGGCCAGCAGCAGGGCTAAGGCAATCCTGCTGAGCAAACCTTTCTGGCGGCTGTAAGCATCCAACCTCCTCTCCTACACCTGACAGGCAGCTCGTGGCTTTAAGACAATCCAGCTGAGCAAAGCATCCCACTTCCTCTCCTACACCTGACAGGCAGCTGCCTGTCCAGTGTGTGTGTGGGGGGAGGAGTATTAGAAGCTACTGTGGAGGCGGGTCTGGTGGGATCACTAAGGCGTTACTGCTGGGGCGGTTTTAAGCACCCTGCAACTGCTGCTGCACTTGACAGACAACTGCCTGTCAGGTGTAGGAGGGGGGAGCATGTTTGAAGCCATAGGGAGTCTGGGCCAGCAGCTTTGCTTCACCTCATAGGCAGTTGGCCACTCCTGATTTCCTCAACTGTCATTAGCTCTCTGTAGTCCCCTGTAAATGTTTTTTTTAAAACCTCAGAACACTGAGCTCTGCAGCTGACCAATCAGAGAGTGGGGGGGTGCAAGGAGGCAGCAGCTTGGCAGCCGCATAGGAATCAATGGGAGTAGCACAGTTTACCCCTTTTGACCCCCTTAGGGGTTGAATTTCTAAAAATCCCTTCTTAGCGAGCACCTATGCCACGATAGGAGTGCTCTCCCCAAATTTCGTGTTTCTAGGTCCAGTGGTTTGGCTTGGGCGTTGATTTTACGGTGAGGGGACTTTCTTTTATATATATAGATAGAAGATGACAAGTGTTAAAAATATGGGTAATCCTGGTTGCTGTTACCAAAGCAATAAGATAACTTCTGACCCTAGCATAACGTCTCCCTGATTTCTCATAATTTAATTATTGTTTTTTAAAAGTTCCATTTAATTGAACATTGCAGTCAGAACATTGCAGAATTCATCCATCACCACTGAATGGCACACAATTGTATTTACATATAAATGTATAAAACTTCATGCACATTTTTGTCACACAACAAAATATTCAGATGCAAAACAATAAATAAGCGTTGCTCTTCCATTGAGACTTGCCAAGAGAGGCTACAACAAAATCTTTGCTAAAAAGTACTAGGTGCCACAATGAAATTTCTAGGAGACTTGGTGCCTGGCATGTGTCTAATGCTGTAGATTGTACAGGTGGCTGCTGTTAAAAGGCTTTTCCCGCTTTTTGAACTGTGAGAGCTGCTAAAAGTTAGGCAGTGCTGGGCGAGCCAAACCAGGCAAATGCAGCATCTCACGTTTAGTCTCATGGCCACAGATACTCAGGAGGGGCACAAGTGGGTGAGCACTCCCATGCTGTATAGATGAAAGATCTCAGGTTCAGTTTCTGAAAAAATAATGGCGCTGGGGAAAAACCTGGTCCTGGAAACAGAGAGCTGCCACCACCAGCCAGACAGCTGCACCATTTTTGTTGCCTAGTTACGGACTTCCCAAAGACATCCGGGTGGCCGCTGTTGGAAAACAGGGATATTGACCTGGATGGGCCTTTGGTACGAGGCGGTAGGGCTGTGCTTCCATTCTTAACCCTTGTCCCTTACTCTGGAGCACCTAGGCTGCTCTCCTCTTTTCAAGCCCCTCCTTGCAGCCCACACTTTCCAGTCTAGTCTCTCTTTGCTCAGGACTGAGTATTTTGTGCCAGGGCAGCAGCAACACAAGTATTCAGAGTTACAACATCGGTCAGATCTGTGTTGTTGTTTTGGGTTGTGTTTGAGCTCCTATTTAATAGTGTCTCCTATTTTTCTGTTTGATGCAAGATCGTTCCAAGCGACAGTCCGCCAAGCGGCTTTAAGCTGCTTCCTTTCCACTGTGAAGTCAATAGAGAAGAAAGTCCTCTATGGCTATTGGCCTGCATTTGTACCTGACACGCCTGGCATAGGAAGCCCGCAATCGCTGTCACTGATGACTATTGCTTTAAAAGACCCCTCTCCAAAGGTAAGAGCATTTTCTGGCAGGAGTGAGAGCTCTTCTTCTTTCACTTTTGGCTCCTCAAAGCTTGATCGATTCGTTACAGTGACAGTGTGCTTTGCATGCAGGTCATCTCTTCCAGACCCTGATAACACCAGTTAAAGGATTTTCTTGGCCTCTTTCTCCCCACTGACACATCCTGATGTTCTCTGCCAGTCATGTTTTTGTCTCGAGTTGAAACATCTCTTCCTTCTTTCAGACTCGTGCTTGCGCTCTGCAAGTCCTTTCGGCCATCTTGGAAGGCTCCAAGCAGTTCCTTTCCGTTGCTGAAGATGCCAATGACCACAGGAGGGCTTTCACTCCCTTCTCAGTTACTGTTGCTTCCAGCATCCGAGAGCTTCATCGCTGCCTGTTGCTGGCCCTGGTGGCTGAATCCTCTTCCCAGACCCTCACCCAGATAATCAAGGTAAATTGGTTGACTGCAGAAAGGAGTTCATTTTGCAAGTGACGACTAGTTTGCCTGCAAGTGAGCCAGTATAGCGTATGGGACCAGAGAATTGTATTGGAGAGGGGCTGTACAACTGTTTGGATACAAGGTCGCAGTTCTTTTTAAAAAATGTAGACCAGCAGACCTCTATGTGAGTGCTTCAGGAGGATGAAGGCCACAGTTTTCGTGCACTGATGCTTCTGCAAAGGTGAATGCCAAGACTCCCACAATGAAACCGGCCTTGTTTCAAGTCCACCAGCAGCCCTACGTAACCTTGTGGTGTTCACATGGGAACTGCTGCATCTCTGAACTGGCTTGTGGGGCTGCAGAATTCATTGCAAGATCAGTGGAACCAGCAAATCTCTTTATTTAGATGTAAGATGAGCCTACTGAAAAGAATTAAGAAGTTAACCTTTGCCTGGGAGCGTCCTTCTGTCGATGATTCCCCAAAATTTGGATATTCAGCTTGAGCCTCTTCTGGGTCAGGAAATTATTCAGTCTTGGTGTGGTGAGCTCCACTCTGCCGTGAACCTCCCAAGGCAGTAGGTGATAAAAACCTTGACATTAAAATAATAATAATATATCTTTAATGTTTCTTGCATGTTGACAGTGCCTGGCCAATCTGATCTCAAATGTGCCGTACAGCCGCTTAAAGCCTGGGCTGCTGACCAGAGTATGGAACCAGATCAAGCCATATATCAGACACAAAGGTATGCGCAGAGTTTGAGTTCTGTGTGTGTGTGCACCAGTTTTGCTATGAACGTTTTTATGTACTTCAGTTGAGGAAACTTTCAAATACCCGTTTTAGAAGGGTCGCCCGGGCAGCCCAACACATTGCAATGGCTGAGGAAGACATCGATGTTACGCTATTTCCCACAGCCAACCTATAGCATGTAGTGGTCATTTACCCCCTTACATACATCTGGGAAATAAGGGTTCTTAGGTGCAGGTATGCATGTGTACCCCAGCACTCTGCACCAGGCAGGATGTTTAACCATGTGGGAGGAATGGATGTTTCAGGGCTTGTTTGCAGAGCCCAAAGTCTAATTTGCATTCTTAAAAGGGAGAAACCAAAAAAACAGAGGGGAACCAGCGTACAAGAAATGGTGCAAAACAGAAGAGACTGCTGGCTGAAATCACTTAAAGTGAACAATAATAATATTTAATGCCGAGTTCACTATCAGTATAACTGGATGAAACCTAAGTATTCTTACAAGGAACAACACTAATGCAGAAAAATTAAGTTACAAAGGTACAGAGAAGTAAAGTCCCAAGAATTTCAATGTGTCTCACACCTGTTGTATTATAATTTCATATAATTTCATCATGATCCTTTGTGATTGATTAAACTCATGTCTGTATGGGTTACTACTGAGATCGGGTCCCACTATAGCCTTTTGGCTTTGAAAAAGAATTATTCGAAAAGTGGCAGCTTGCATCCAGACTACGCATCGTTTATGGCTTATGGACTTCAAGATTATTTGGATCCTCCTGGAACTATATGAGTCCACTCCATGACGAATGCTTGTCAGGTTGGACTATGAAATTATAATACAACAGGAGTGAGAGACATTGAAATTTTGGGGACTTTACTTCTCTGTACCTTTGTGACTTTATTTTTCTGCATTAGTGTTGTTCCTTGTAAGAATACTTAGGTTTCATCCAGTTAAACTGATAGTGAACTCGGCATTAAATATTATTTTTATATAATTATATATATATTGTTCACTTTAAGTGATTTCAGCCAGCAGTCTCTTGTGTTTTGCACCATTTCTTAAAAGGGAGACCAAGATTACACTGATAGGTGTAAGAAAACTTTTGCCTGAGGCTCCTGCAAGGGAGGAAGAAAATGGAGTGACTCCCTTTCAGCATATGAAAAGCCAGCAATTCAGCGGAACCAAAACCAGCGCTAATCTGGTACAGGCAAGTCCTGTATAAGGCTGAGAGCAGCAGAAAAATGTGGTGTCTTTTATGTTCACAAACTGGGAGACTCGTGTTAGTCAGTCTGGATTGCACCATCTAGTGGCTGTAGGGCATGTAAACGTCGAGTCCTGTCTCACAACCCTTTCTCAGCGGGCTAAATGCAGCATTTTTAAAAAAATGTACAAAATAGTCCCTTTCATAGGAAACGATTATAATAAACAGATGTGGCTGAAGATCCTTTTAGTCACAGTTAGTAAAGGTTCGTTTTTCACGTGGGCACACTCATGTGGTTGTCAGGAACTTTAGGCAGGTAACACCACACACTCAGGCTTCTTCAGAAGATAAGTGTTTATTGGTTAAATCCAGTACTAAAGTAACTCATGTACAGCTTGTGTTAGGAATGGCCTGTAATATGGTGGTCACTGACTTATAGGATATTCAAACACCACCACCCCCGTTGCGAAAGCCAATAGATGGTTTCCGTGGGGGCGGGCAAAAGCTAGCAAGCAAGCATTTTTGCGCCTAAACTGTTACATTTCCCAGGCTGGGTGATTTACAGACAGAATACCCACCAAGGTCATTTCTACAGACTGCCAGCTGCGGGAGACAGGGAAGAGCTGGCAAAGCAGAGGAAGGAACCCCCTCCACATTCCAACTCTATGACAGGGCGACCTGACAGTGGTCTGCAGCCACTCATTTGGCATCATTTCAGTGCAGTGTATGAACTTTCTACCTAAATGGCCAGTTATGCAGCTCTGCATATTTAGCCTTGACCAGATGGTCGGGATGAGAGCGTGCTTTGCCCGACGTAGGTCTCTGGTTCCACCCTGGCCCCTTCAGTTAAAGGGCCTTGCATAGCAAGTTTTGGGGAAGACCTTTCTCTGCCTGAGGCCCCGGAAGACCACCGGTAGTTGGACTGTAATGAGTGAGGTGACTCTATGGGCTGTATCCTGTCCTTTCTCCAAGTTTCCCTTCCCTTCGGGCGTTCTCTTCCTCTCCTTTCTCTTGACCAAGCCGTCTTGCGGTTCTGCTTTGCACCTTGTTGCTTCTTAGCTACCTCACCCAAGGCCCAGTTCTGCCTTCCCTGCAGCAGCTCAGCTAATGTCTTGCTAGCGGGGCTTCTGCCTGCCCCCTTTCCACAACCAACCTCTGCCGGTTGCCTCGCCGCCAGCACCAAATTGCTTTGTGTATCGCCATGGAGGTTTTCCTTAGGGCCTTCTGGGGAGCAGGAGGCTGTCTGTGTAGCTGCCTTGAGAGCACTTTATTCTTCCTTCCAGATGTTAACGTTCGAGTGTCGAGCCTCACGCTGCTGGGAGCCATTGTTTCCGCTCAAGCTCCTTTGCCAGAGGTACAGCTGCTGCTGCACCAACCCACCTCTTCAGGGCTTGCCGATAGTGGATCCACTACGCCCCGCTCTCCTGGAGTGCCTGAATGGCAGAGAAAACCCTCAGGGGAGCTACCCCGTCGCACGGAGAATGTGCCTGCAGAGCCCTGCTGGCTCATCCGACTCTGCATCTCTCTCATCGTGCTGCCAAGGGAAGACAGCTACTCAGACAGCGATGCTGGCGGCGTATCAGACGCCAGCGTGCAAGAACCCTCTCCTGTTCGCCTGGAGGCGTTGCAGGTGTGTGGCTGGGCTGGTTCTTGAGAATAGGACTGAGGCCCAGTGACTTGCTCACGTAGTTTTAAATTAGGTGGTTTTAGGTTTTAGTGTGTATATTTAGGAAGGAATACTAAGTTCCCTTAGTTGAAACGCTAGTAAAAGGTCTGGAAGTGAACTGGCATAGGACCTCCCTGCATCCAGTTAGGAAAGATCCCCTTTCGAATCTTGGAGAGGAGGAGGAGCCAGTCTCGATCATTGTAGGAGGGCAGTTGAGGAATAATGGAGCCTGGGAAGAAGCCGCTCTTTCTCTGTTACAAGACTGGACTGGGCAGACCAGGAAAGGTTACAGCGAACAGCTGAGAATTGGTCGGAGTGTGGAGACCTGGTTTTGAAGGAAGGAGGGCACAGAAGTTAACTTTTGAATCAGTCCACTTCCTTGTGTGGATAAAACGGGTAGTAATGTGTTCAAGTACTCTGTTTTTCCTTCATCATTTCCTTTTACGGAAACTAGTTTACATAATCTTGTTAACCTCTTGCATGTTTTACTAGAGTTGCCAGCTGATGGGAGAAAGCATGTCCTGTCCCTTTAATAGAGGCTCGAGGTGATGTTATTTACCAGGTGATGTTACTTACCTCCACACCACGAAAAGCTTTTATTTGAAGGGGCAGGGCGTTTTTCTCCAGGTCTGACTGTTACGGGGATATAGCCTATGTACTCTGCTCCATGGTAGGCTGTGGAAGACTAGGAAGGGAAACATCTGTGGTCCTAACTTCTTGCACATGTGTGAAGGGTCATGTGGCACTGGGTTACATAGGTAAAGGACAACAGATACAGACCTGTGATACAGTTGACAGCAGCCTGGAGAGAGAATGCCCTGTCCCTTTAACAGAGGCTCAGTGGGATGTTATTAACAAGCTCCACCTTTTCATTTCCACATGTGAAGCCTGTATTAAAATGGCCGGACACTTTTTCTCCAGGCTGTTACCAGCCCTACCGGTTACCCATTGACAAGCAATATCTTAGGAAGCGATTTGTCCTGAAACTGAGGCTGTATCATAAACATTTACCAGTTGCTAATGCGGTGGCTCAAATGGTTAGGACGCTGAACTGCAGACTGGAAGGTTGGTAGTTCGGCAGTTCGAGACCCCAGTGCCGCGTGACGGAGTGAGCTCCCGTCTCTGGTCCCAGCTCCTGCCAACCTAGCAGTTCGAAAGCAAGAAATTGCAAGTAGATAAATAGGGACCATTTCAGTAGGAAGGTAACAGCGTTCCATGCACCTCGGCATCTAGTCATGCCGGCCACATGACCATGGAAATGTCTTTGGACAGCTTTGGACGGCTTGGAAATGGAGATGAGTCGGGTTTGACTGGCTTTCGAGCAAGGGAAAACTTTACCTTTACCTAATGCATACTCTGAGGTGTAGTTTAACGTAAAGCTCTGAGCGGTGGCTGTTGAAAAGGAGGTAAGGGTAGCTTGATTGGGGAGGGGGTCAGTGCAGCGCCCTGCTCGGATCCACTTCCTAGGCAAAACAGATGAGTGAAGTGCGGCTAGCCGTTTGACCCAGTGCAACATCTCATTTCCCAGGCTAGCCGTGTCCCAAGAGAGCACAGTGGTTGCAAGCCCATTGCTGTAGTCTGAGCTGTTTATGTCATTACAGAGACAATTTCATGACGGGTGAGATGGGGTGGTGGCAGCGTGGTTGTGATGCATCGGGAGCTTCAGGACCGCAGGAGCTTCTGCCACAACGAATGTGCTGGGCTTGCAGGGGTGGACAGAGCTCCCGCTCTGAAGTCGCTCCCTGCGAGCAGCCAGGCGAGTGGCTGTTTACAATCCGGATTCCATATTTCCTCTCAGTGACCAGGTTTTGTGCAGCTGCTGGCATCTGTCACGGCTACGTATTAATCTAATGACCCATATTTGCCATTTTGAGTATCGCCGTAACTTTTAAAATGTGGCCGCTTCTGGTACTGTATTTTTGTGGTGGACTTTGACTGCAGTTGTTTGTTCAAATTCCTCCTCTGTTGCTTTCCAATTTCTCAACCAGGTCTTGGCTGTCCTTGTCAAAGGCTATTTCTCCGTTTCCCAGAGCTATTTGCTAGAGCTTGGTGAAGTTGCTTGCAGATGCATGGAGGAAACGGATCCATCTGTCCAGCTGCACGGGGCAAAAGTAAGAGCTGTAGTGATGGGATCTCCCCTCCCCTCATCCCACCCTGCCTCTGAGATCTGTCACCCGTGTTCAAACCCAGAGGGAAGCCAGAGCCTCGTACTGGAGGGTGGGGTGGGGTGTCAGTTTCTTCTGGGAACAGGTCTTCTTTACAGCAAGCTTTTTGTCAGGGTAACTTTCACATGACTGCGAAAGCGAGTGAGACAGCCACATTCCCACACAGTAACACAGGCTGCTTGATCCAGGCAAGGGGGTGAGTGGGCGAATGGAGCTCGCTGTGCATAATTCTCTCCGGAGAGAAGAGAGAGTATGGGAGAGAAGAAGATGATATAGAAGCAGGGTTTTGATCCACTGGGGAGGGAAAGCCAGGCCAGCTGCTGTCGGAGGAATCTTTGCGCAGAGCTACCCTGAAGGGAAGGGGCTGCGGTGGCTCAGAGGTTAAGGCGCTGAGCTGCAGACCGGAAGGTCGGCAGTTCGAGACCCGAGTGCCACGTGACGGAGTGAGCTCCCGTCTCTGGCCCCAGCTCCTGCCAACCTAGCAGTTCGAAAGTAAGAAATTGCAAGTTGATAAATAGGTACTGCTTTGGTGGGAAGGTCACAGTGTTCCAGCATTGAGTCAGGCCAGCCACATGACCACGGAGAAGTCTTTGGACAGTGCTGGCTCTTCGGCTTGGAAACAGAGATGAGCACTGCCCCCTAGTGTCGGATTCGACTAGCTTTCGAGCAAGGGAAACCTTTACCCTGAAGTGAGATGCAGGCCTGGCAGCAATGGCATCACAGCAGTACAGAGTGTCAGGGCTGGGCCTGGTGAGTGTGCCATGGTGCCTGATCCCATGGAGGCCGAAGCCCTGGCAGACCCTGAGGTTCCTGGGCCTTTTAGCTCCCAAGGGCCATCGGGGGACACGGCCAGCTGGACACAGAAGGGCCGGTGTGGAATCCAGCATTGGGTGCAGTTTTCAGTGGCAGCCCCAGAGGTTGTTTTCACGCGCACTTCTGTCCTTTCATAAAGGTTCTGTAACTCCTTTGGAAGAATCTTGGCGCGTTTTGCATTAATGTTCTTTTGAGCTTCCTCTTTAGGCCTTTACATGCACATTCTGTTTTAAAAAACAAATGTTACCTTTTCCCCCTACAAAATCATCATGGACTCTCATCTTTTCCTATAGAATCACCCAGATTGTTCGTTTTTCGGGGATTTACGTTCTGCCTCTCAAATGTACCTGATTAGCTGTAATGTAATACAAGAAAAATAAATACACCTTAAAGCATGATACGAACTTCTAAGATAATTCATTGAAATGAATCTAGCGGCAGGAAAACCACTCCCAGAATATTCAACTAAGACATCAGTCAATGAAACCTGTTGCCTAAAATGCTCATGACATAAGAATTCGGTCATGAAAGTGTAAGCAGCAAGGGATGCAGGACAAGATCATTAACAGTGAAGATAGTTAAAAGGATGCCATATACACTTATATTAAACTTATTTATATTTATATGAAACATATATGTATTACTTAACCTCCCAGGTTTAAGAGCACAGAGAGTCACTTTGCAAAGCACCAGAAGCCACCAGATCGCCTCTAGTACGCTGCTGAGCCTGGCTCCCCACCACCACCTTTTCCAACTTACTTTGCAGGCTTAAATGCACAGAGAGTCAGTTTGCAAAGCACCAGAAGCCACCAGATCGCCTCTAGTACGCTGCTGAGCCTGGCTCCCCACCACCACCTTTTCCAACTTACTTTGCAGGCTTAAATGCACAGAGAGTCAGTTTGCAAAGCACCAGAAGCCACCAGATCGCCTCAAGCATGCTGCTGAGCTCCCCCCAGCTTTTCCAACTAACTTTACAGGCTTAAGGGCACAGAGAGTCACTTTGCAAAGCATCAGAAGCCACCAGATTGCCTCTAGCACGCTGCTGAGCCTGGCTCCCCTCCCCTTTCCAACTAACTTTACAGGCTTAAGGGCACAGAGAGTCACTTTGGAAAGCACCAGAAGCCACCAGATTGCCTCTAGCACGCTGCTGAGCCTGGCTCCCCTCCCCTTTCCAACTAACTTTACAGGCTTAAGGGCACAGAGAGTCACTTTGGAAAGCACCAGAAGCCACCAGATTGCCTCTAGCACGCTGCTGAGCCTGGCTCCCCTCCCCTTTCCAACTAACTTTACAGGCTTAAGGGCACAGAGAGTCACTTTGGAAAGCACCAGAAGCCACCAGATTGCCTCTAGCACGCTGCTGAGCCTGGCTCCCCTCCCCTTTCCAACTAACTTTACAGGCTTAAGGGCACAGAGAGTCACTTTGGAAAGCACCAGAAGCCACCAGATTGCCTCTAGCACACTGCTGAGCCCGGCTCCCCACCCCAAGACAAAACAAACAATCAGGCAGCTCACCTCAGGAAGGGCAGAATCTGGGCAACAGAGCAGTCCTCCTTCTGGGCCAGGGTATCTCCAGGAGCACGAGGCAGAGGACTGCCGGGGAGGGTAGCAGCGCCCCCTTTCACAGGGCAAACAAACCGCAGCTGAGCAAAGGCGGGGCCAGCCCAGATCAGGAAACACAAAGCATACTGCTGTGTTTCTGTGCTGCCTGAGCAAATGGATCCGTGCTGCATGGCCATTGGGAAGGGAACCTCTCGCCCCTGTGCTGTGGTAACAATTGCTGCGCTGGCCAGGGGAAATCGGTGCACCAGCGCAGCTTGGCGCAGCTTAAAGGGAACCTAGCCTGTGAAGTAGGTGGGGCTGAGAGAGCTCTGACAGAAACTGCTCTTTTTTTCAAGAACAGCTCTTCTCAGAACTACATCTTGCCCAAGGTCATCCAGCCAGGTGCAAGTGGAGGAGTTGGGGAATCAAGCCCAGTTCTCCCAGATTAGAGTTCGTGCACTTAACCACTACAACAAACTGGCTCTGCTTTGGACGAGTGCTGTTGACAGGGCAGTATGCACAGTTGACTGACCATCCCCCCTTTTTTAATCTTGTGGAGTTGATGGTTTGATACAGCAGCTGTACTTGTTGTTCTGCCACAGGGGTGATAACTTGCAGGGCTGTCTTTGCTTCTGTCACTGGTGAGCTTATTGGTCCCCAGCAGCACCATTTCTGGGGGTAGGGAAGAGACAGAATCAATTAGGACTCTTTTACATCCTGATGGGTAGCTCCTCCCTACTTTTAGATGCTTAAAGCAATAACTTAGTATTACGGAGGCTTCCTCCCACTCCTGAAGCCCTGGAGCTCTTCAGCTGACCCAGCCAGTGTCTTAGCCAGTTTGGAGGGAGGTGCTGCGGTCAGGCACCCAGGACTTCCTCCGGGAACAGAGGGACACTTCAGCCCAAAGCCCTGCTGGTAAGGGAGTAAACCTTTAACGAACCCTTTAATTTCAAAGCTTTTGCATGCTTCGGTCTAGCGGTGCTGCAATATTGAACAGTAGCGTAATACCAAATGAGAAGCTTGTTTTTTGCCTCTGGGGTCTTTGCTATTGATTATGTACTGCTTGAAAATACTTGTGGGAGGGCCGCCTTCGGGACCGACTTTATTTTCCTTCTTTTTGGCAGCTCCTGGATGAGCTGGGCATGGGGATCATAGAGCAGCACAAGCCAGATTCAGCTGTGGCTCCAGATCAGCGGGTGCCAGTCGGCCTGGTACGTATGCGGCCGGTCCTCTTTTGTCAGCTCTTTCTGTTGGAATCACGTTTGAACGTAATCCTGCTCTTTAAACATAACTGTGTGGCCCTTTGCTAGAGGAGGCAGGGGTTTGCCCAGGCACCTGCCATAGCAGGGGGGCCCCAGCGTGGTGTCCATGGAGGTTGTGGCACTCGCCAGCAGCACCTTTTCTGCTGCCCGCCAAAGTGTTTTGAGCGAGTGGGCGGGGCCAGGTAAGGCTTTTACCCAGTGAGGCTTCTGGTCGACGATTGGAGTTTTGATTTTCTGAAAGGTTGACTGAGGGTAAGCCGTGGCCATCATTTTTGTGGCTGGCTCTGTCTCCCGTGGGAGTCGTTTTGTGGCTGCCCCCACCGTGCCGTGTCAGAATTCCGAATGTGCCCGCAGGCTCAAAAAGGCTGGGGACCCCTCTGCTATAGGATGATGATGGCTCCAGCCCACTCCTTTTGTGCCGGGGGAAGGAGCACGTTTGCCTTGGAGCGAGCTTGCTGCAGTGGTTAAGAGCGGCGGACTCTCATCTGGAGAACTGGGTCTGATTCCCCACTCCTCTTCCGCAGGCAGCCAGCTGGGTGACCTTGGGTCAGTCACAGAGTCCTCTCAAGAGCTGTTCTCTCAAGAGCAGTTCTTTCAGAGCTCTCTCAACAACAATTTATTAGTACGGTCATTGACCAAATACGTAAAAGAACCGAAAAGACATCCACTGGTAAAATAGTAAAATGCATACAGACGCTATCCAGAATATCAAGCCAAAAATCCTAAATATAAATACACGTTGATGGGGTCTGAACTGGCAGAGACTGATCAAGAGAGAGATCTTGGAGTTGTAGTAGATAACTCACTGAAAATGTCGAGACAGTGTGTGACTGCAATAAAGAAGGCCAATGCTATGCTGGGGATTATTAGGAAGGGTATTGTAAACAGATCAGCCAATATCATAATGCCGCTATATAAATCAATGGTGCAACCTCATTTGGAATACTGTGTGCAATTCTGGTCACCACACCTTAAAAAGGATATTATAGCTTTGGAAAAAGTGCAGAAAAGAGCAACTCGAATGATAAAAGGGTTGGAACACTTTCCCTATGAGGAAAGGTTAAAGCGCTTAGGGCTCTTTAGCTTGGAGAAACGACGACTGAGAGGTGACATGATTGAGGTTTATAAGATTATGCATGGGAAAGAGCAGGTAAAGAAAGAGGTACTTTTCTCCCTTTCTCACAATACAAGAACCCGTGGGCACTCCATGAAATTGCTGAGCGGTCGGGTTAGAACGGATAAAAGGAAGTACTTATTCACCCAAAGAGTGATTAACACATGGAATTCACTGCCACAGGAAGTGGTGGCGGCTACAAGCATGGACGGCTTCAAAAGGGAATTAGATAAGCATATGGAGCAGAGGTCCATCAGTGGCTATTAGCCACAAGGTATAGATAGGGACTCTGGGGCAAGTGATGCTCTGTCATCTTGGTGCTTGGGGAGGTCAACAGTGGGATGGCTTCTAATGTCCTGGCCCCACTGGTGGACCTCCTGATGACACTGGTATTTCTGGCCACTGTGGGATACAGAGTGTTGGACTGGATGGGCCTTTGGTCTGATCCAACATTGGCAACTCTAAAAAAAAAAAAATCAAAAAAAATTCAAACATTAAAATGTTAGGAATAAAATTAAAATATTATTAGATAATTTAAAAACTCTATTTAAGTACAGTATTCATTATCTAACTGCTAATAGCTTGTCTCCAGATTTTGATCGCCTGCGTGGCAAATTTTGCCATGTTTAAGGTAGTTTCCTGCTCTTTGTCAGCCAGCAACTTATCTAGGTAAAATCTTCCATTTCTCCCAGGAAATCGAGAACAAATCGGGGTTATGTGAATGTCTCTAATGCTTTGATACATTTTACATTTGAACATCACATGTTCCCTCGTTTCTCCCTCTCCACAGATACACAATCTTTCCTCATAAGGTTGTCTTTTGTATTTACCTTCTAAAACTGCAGATGGAAGCATATCGGCTCTGAGCAGAGTAAATGCTCTTCTATAGTCAGGTTTATCTAAGTTTTGTAAATATACCATTGGCATTGCCTTGTTTAGTCCCACCCTTCCTGGCAGATGTCGCTTTATCAAGTTCAAATCATGTTGCCTTTCAACATCCATGATTCTTTGCTTAACAATTTTTTTTTACTCAATTATAATCCATATTAATCAGGAATTGCTTAGAAAGTCCGTAATAGCCCAATTTAAGTTCTATTTCTTTAATCCAGGGTGGCACTATAGAATCTCTTAATATTAAACCTGTTAATCCAGTGAGATTTGTAAGTATTTTAAACTAATAAAGAATGGCTGCAATCCAAAGGTGTGTTTTTACAGTGACCATACCTGTTTCTGTGCGAATAACTGTATTCATGAATTAACTTGTAATATATATCTTAAAAATTTGGATTGAATTCTTTCCATAGACTGCATATGGGATTGAGATGCTGTAATACTTAAGGGAGCGCCATATAATAATTGGGCAAGTGGTTTGGCCTTGAAAATCCTAACTGCTGCCATTACATTTCAGCCTCCCCAGGTCTCTCAGCCCCACCTACCTAATGGGGTGTCTGAGGAAAGGAAGGCTATTGTAAGCTGCTCTGAGACGCCTTTGGGTAGTGAAGGGCCATGGGGTATAAAAACCAACTCTTCTTCTTCTCTCATCCTCCCCATAGGTTGTCACCTTCTGGACTAGGATGCTGAATGGCCCTTTGCCTGGAGCCTTGCAGAACTCCCAGCACCCAATGCTTCAGACCAGCACTTGCAACGCCCTCTCCTCTATTTTGCCGGAAGCTTTCAGTGATCTACCGGTAAGCACGTTGCTGTGTGTGTAAGAATTCCTTTGAGAATCCAGGTTAAGGCCTCACTGCTTTGGGCAGGGGAGATTACCAGAGATGCCCATAAAGCCTGTATAACAAAGACTATATCTTGTGCACTGCAGCCAAGCGGTAGAGACACCAGCGTATTTGAAACCAGAGAAGCTAGAAGCAGCAGCAGCAGCAGCAGCAGTCCCTTATGTACGTAGGGCCTGCTGGCATTCCCTCTGGCGCAGAAGAAATTTATTTTTTTTTAAGGAAGCTGGGGTTCTAAAGACTATGTTCAATTCTGGGCATGATTTGTATCAGGGCAAAAGGAACTCCGAGGTGTCCTCTGAGAGGGTCATGTTCCAACTTGCTCTGTTTCTCTTTTGCACCCTTCTTTGTCTTGCTGGTCTAACCCCAGAACTTTCATCTGGATCTCCTAATAGGGTGGCTGAGAAGAGCTTCCGTGCAGACAGCTCTCAGCAGTCTCCCAGCACCCTGGCCTCTTCCCCAGCCCCACATTATTCTTCAGGTCTCCCTGCATAGTCTATCCCCCTGCCCGGTATCCTGAGGCATATTGCAATGAAGTGAAAATTACAATGACTAGCTAGGCTCATGTAGATGTACCAGGGAAAAAAACCCCAAGGGCCGCACCAATAAGAATAAGAAGAAGAGATTGGATTTATACCCCACCCTTCACTACCCGAAGGCGTCTCAGAGCGGCTTACAAACTCCTTCCCCTTCCCCTCCCCACAACAGACACCCTGTGAGGTGGGTGGGGCTGAGAGAGCTCTCTCGAGAACTGCCCTTGAGCGAACAGCTCTGAGAGAACTTGTAACTGACCCAAGGTCACACCAGCAGCTGCACGTGGAGGAGTGGGGAATCAAATCCGGTTCTCCCAGATTAGCGTCCACACTCTTAACCACGACACCAAACTGACAAAGAGAGAAAAAAAACAATGGTGCACTGGGAAGAAAATTTTATTCCAAAATATTAATAACACCTGCGCATTTTGGGCTAACCTTAAGATCTGTGGAGTATAAAACCAGCAGTACCCCCACTACACCTGCATCATTGTTTTTTCTTCATCTCATGTCAGTGTGCGCTGTGCAGACACCCTCTTTCACCCCCCTGCACCACCGTTCATTGTAGTGAGTGGTGGTTGATCCTGTCCCAGTCTCAGTCAAAGAAGGGCCTTCCTTGACAGCGGCTAAGATACCTCGACCCTTTAGCCGTATTTTTAAAATGTGAGCCGTTAATCTGGGACTACATGACTGGCTGTACAATATCTGAAGGACTTCTCTCTGCCTAACTTGCTGATTTCAGGCTGACAAGCAAATCCTGTGCATCACTGTTCTTCTCGGGCTCAACCACAGTGAGAATTCGCTGGTGAAAGCTGCAGCCGCACGGGCACTAGGGGTCTACGTGGTTTTCCCATGTCTTCGGCAGGTCAGGTTTCAGTCTCAAGTTGTTCCTTTTAAAAAAAATTTCTCGGATATTTTTTTGGGGAATGAAATGAATAAGAGAACCATAGAGTTGGAAGGGACCTCCAGGGTTGTCTAGTCCAACCCTGTGCACAATGCAGGAAATTCACAACTACACCCCCACCCCCAGTGACCCCTGCTCCATGCCCAAAACTTGGCAAAAAACTCTCCAGGATCCCTGGCCAAAATGGTCTGGAGAAAATTGCTTCCCAACCCCAAAGTGGCGATCGGCATGTCCCTGGTCGTGTAAGAAAGGGCCACGAAAACTAAGCACTGAGGCAACCCTTCCTGTCCTCCCTTCTCGTGATCTGCCTGAGTCCTCAGAATCAGCATTGCTGTCAGGTGGCCATCTAGCCTCTGCTTGAAAACCTCCAAAGGAGGAGAGCCCACCACCTCCCCAGGAAGCCTGTTCCACTGAGGAACCGCTCTAACTGTCAGGAAGTTCTTCCTAATGTTTAGCCGAAAACTCTTCTGATTTAATTTTAACTTGTTGGTTCTGGTCCGACCTTCTTTATTGGACAGATAAATGAAATCAGCAATCAAAACTTACCTATTTGTTTTAAATTGTCTCTTCTTGATTGGGTGGATCCGGCTACAACTACATTGGCCCAAAAAGAACTCACTTCCAGGCTGCTGGCAGCAGCAAGACTAACAATTGCCTCTGTTGGGAAACCTGGCTCTTCCCCTTCGTTGCAACTATAGTTTGAAAAAATCTGGGACCAATTTATTTTAGAAAAACTTACTCAAATTACTCAGAATACTAATGTTGCAATGTCAAGGGCTTATACATGATTTGTTGCGATTTGGTCAAGGGTTCTTAATTTTATGTCAGAAAAGGACATTCTTCCTTCCAAAGAGACATAGATTCCCTGGATACGATTTTAAAAATATTCATTCACTACACATGTACTGGCAGTGTTCATCTAACTTTTTTCATGATCAACCACCATATCTTTATCTTTTGTGTTTTAATGCACTGTTCACGCGTAAAGAGGTTAGGCGGGTATAATACGGTTAAGCTGATAGTATTGGTAATGGGTTATGTTTATCTTTAATGGAGTTATGTTTGTGTTACGTTTGTTTTGTAATGTGCCTGTTTTCATTGCTGTCCCATTATGGTTTTTTAAAATAAATAATAATAATTAAAAAAGAAATATCCCCTTTAATGCTAATGACGCTTTTAAAATAAACTCTCATGATAGTGACTTCTTCTTTTTTTTTAAATAAAGGCTTTATTTATTCTCCTGAAAAGGAGAGGTATTTTGCTTTAATAGAAAAATAGGGAGGGTATATAGTGGGAGAAAGAGAAAGCTGACTGATATATTAACTTGTAAATTAATCTGTTAGTAATGTCCAAATTATCTTCTTAGGCTTCTTCTGTGTGCAGTCAAACTTCTTTCTTCAAACCAGTTAAAGGTGTTATCTATGTTAGTGTATTAGTAGTGTTCATTCGATGCTCTGTTAAAGTTTCCTCAAGGCGCATTCAGAACCGCTCCTTCGCGTGCTGGCTTCTTTTAAATTTCCAATTTCATGGAGGGGCTTCTTCTGTTTCCCTCTCTCCGGCTTTTCCAGTCCTCTTCCGGGTCGCTGTTAACGCTTCCATTTCATATACTGTAAATCTTCACTCTTTCATGCTCTTTCATGCCCTTTCAAAAGATCTCTAGCTCTGAGAATGGATTTTCTTTTTTTTTTAATTCCAGTTTCACTTTTAAACGTTGCAATTCTCTTCGCTGGATCTTCCTCCGCAACTGTTGACTTTTAAAAGCGCTTGTAAGGCACTTTCTCGCTGTCACAGTTCATCTTTTCTCACAGTTCCCCGCCAGAGTCACAGCCATAAACATTCCAAACATTAATCAGCCAGTTCTCACGAAAAAGCAAACGCCCAGACCGGAAGTTCCTCCCTTCTTCTCCGCTTGTCTTTTAGCCCAGCTCCGACATCTTATTATTTTTGTTTACTTTTAATAAAGTTCTTAAAACGCGCTCCAAAGAAACAGAATTTTTCTCGCTTTACTCCAAATGCATCAAAACAGCCACTACTCGCACAGTCTATTCCCCCCCCCTTTATTCTCTCGCTAACGAAGTTAGAGGGTTTACCTCCTCGTCTTTTCCGCTGGGGGGGGGGAGCGCTCTTAATTCTTTTTCTTCGCATTTGACAACTCACAGTTTAGCCGATCTTTTCTTTTTTCATTTCATCGGTTGTTCACTTTATCACTCGGTGACGTCTGGTGGCTCCGCTAAACCCCGTGTGGGGTCGCTCACGCAGCAAGGTCCATTGTGGCAGGGCATGACGAGAGTCTCGATTTCCGACCGATCGGCCGAGAAAGAGACTCCCCCTAGTGCGCCCTAACGCGCCCCGGATTTGAGCCCCTCTCCTGAGGGGCTCGTTTGGGTCTCCGCTCGCGCGGATTCCCTCCTCCACCGCGGGCAGGCGAGACGCCCTCGGGAGCAACCCGAGGATGCGTCCGCCATTCGCGGGAGCCAGACCGCCATGATAGTGACTTCTTAATAGAAGTTGCAAGCCACCCGGCAGACTTTTATCGCGCCCATCTTCTCTGGTGGGTGGGGCAAGGAGATTTTGAATGCCTCTCCTGTCTGTTGCAGCAGTGGCTGATGGTTTGGCCTGCCTTCTGGGTCCTTTTTTTCAGTCCAGGGTGGAAAGCAGGTTCTTTGCCCAGACCCCCCAAGTCCTGTATTTGCAAGCAAGCTCCACTGCTTCCAGATCTGGAGCCCCCTTAAGAGGGTGCCAGTATGCCAAGCTTCCTAGCAATGGAATCCGAGAGCAGAAGTTGAAGATGAAAATCCGTCGTGGTAAGAACAGAGGGAGGACAAGGGGCGCATGGCACAGAAGAGCAGATCAGAGTTATGAGGTCACCAGGGAGTACAGCAGAGTAATTAATTTAATGATAGGGTGTGATTAGTGCTAAGTACACAATTAATGGGTTGAGGTAATTGCACTTGATTCTAAGAAGCTAGTAGGCCAATTAAATGGAAATTCACTCAGAGGCTTTGAAGCATCAGGAGCCCAGGGAAATTTGGGGTGCTGTGTCCATTCCAAAAATAATTAAAGATCGTTCAGGGCGACACAGGACAAATTGGGTAAAAAGTAATGTCCTTTTGCCTGGTGGCAGGCTGGCTTTTAAAACTTAATGAGGCTCCTCGGGAAGCTTAGACCAATTCACGGAAGGGGCAGGACCAAGAACAGCTCTTAGTCAGGGCGTTTAAGGACACCCGCCATGTCCAGAGGCAGGAGGCTGCTCAGTGCTGGAGAGAGACCAGCGGGAAGGGGGTGGTTGGCCTTGCCCTGCTTATGTCCTGGAATCACTTGGCTGACCACCGCTGGAGACAGAATGCTCAAGTGTAGCTAGGTATTTCGTCTGATCCTGTGAGGCTGGTCTCTGCAGCCTGCCGCATTATAAATGAAACCAGAGGCCTCCAACTGCGACTAGTCTGCTTCTTTCAAGTTCAGTACGTGAACTTCAGGCTTCTTCTGCAGGACACCTTTCGTCTGCTTATTTGCTGTCCCAGTTTTCCTTCCTCTCAGACTCCTTTCCCTGGCCGCCTCCCCTTCCCCACAAACCTGTTCCAGCCTCCTTTTTCCTGTGATTTCCTTGGCCTGCCTCATCCCTAGGTGTCTGCCTTTCCTAGCCCCCTGCTTGGTCTGTCCCAGTCCACCTGTTTTGGGTGCCTACCTGGTCCCTTCTCCTGGGTTAAACCTGCCAGAGTCGCTGTTCTGACCGCCCGGCCACTCTAGAACAGGGGGACGGAAGAGCCGGTCCCTTTCAGAGGCTTCAGGGCCACCGTGACCAGATTGCCTGCCACGCGGATTCTTGGTGAAAGGCGGGGGATAACAGCGTCCGAATGGTCACGGCCGGTCTCTTTTCTCCAGGATGTGATGTTTGTCGCTGACACAGCAAATGTGATCCTGACCTCGCTCTCTGACAGCTCTCCAAATGTCCGTGCCAAAGCAGCATGGTCCCTGGGGAACCTGACGGACACGCTGATCATCAACATGTACGTACCAAGGGGGGGGGGGGGGGGGCGCCTTGGGAGCATTTCCCAGCTGGGTTCTGCTGGGTGGATTTTAGCCTGATTAGATTTCTCAGAAATAGCAGTAGTCTTTTTTCTTTCTTTCTTTCAAAAGTGAATCAAGTAGAAGGGGTAATGCCCAGTCAGGGAGACACTGAATAGCCACCACTGCATGGCGTGGAACTGGCAAAAGAGTAGATGAGCCCAAGGCCTTCTCTGGACTCCCCCAGGTTTGTAGGGTGGGAGCAGAGCCTCAGAGGAGGTCCCAGGTGCGATCCCTGGCATCTGCAGCTAAAAGGACCAGGCAGCAGGGTGTGTGGAAGAGCTCTTCCCGAGGCCCTGGAGGGACACCACCGCCAGTCGGAAGCGACAGGGGTCTGGCAGCCACATGGGAGAGAGAGCGTCTGAACCAACCCTGAAGTCAGCTTTTGACACACCGGTTATTTGGGGGGTGGGGGTGGGATCGTGAAGTCTGCAGACAAAACCAGTCTGGGGGCCCTGTTCCTCCAACCTGCCAGCTCAAGTCTAGAATCAAGGTGTTGTCTTCTCTTAAGCCACAGTGAGTGCTTGGTGAAAAAGTGACTAGTCACCTTAGTCAGTGCATTTTAAAAAGCTTGCCAGACCCACAGGCTCATCGTCCAACTGCCCAACACACCACTTTTGCTCTGTAAGAAGTTTTCAAGCCCTTTGCAAGGAGCAGTGGTTCTGCCCCTTTAACAGAACAGTCCTGTTACTTAAAAGCCTCAGCATTCTACTTGGGCCCCGAGAAAGTCCGACTGCAAGCCTAAGTTTATTCAGACCCTGCTTCTACTGATCTGACCTTCTGTAACATACTTAAGGCATCACTCAGCCTGTACCCCAAAGAGGATTTGTACATGTGTCTGCTTGTGAGAAAGACATGATTGTTGCTGGGTATTCAGGCACCCTGGTCAGCATTTCTGTCTTTGAAGCAAGCGTTCTGGGCCTGCTCCAGAAGGTGGTGTGGTCTAGCATTTGCCCAGGACCAAGGGCGGTGCCATTCTGACATGGCACAGATGATCCCACTAAATGAGAAGTACCGTGAGAGATGTCTTCCCTTGCATGGTCCACTTTTGCCAGCAAGGATGTCTTGCCCCTGGGCTCTGAGAGTCCCAGAACCGGCTCTCCAGACATCTAAGACACGCTTTCAGCACTGTTTTTAAACCACTGGTTTAAACCCTGCGCTCCTTCAAAACCCTTTGAATCCCTTTGAACCACCTGAGCTCTTGAAAATGTACAGCAACACAGCATGTCAGAGAATCCTGCCTCAGCTTAGCCTACTCAAGCCTGTTACAAAACGCTCCTTGTGCATAGAAAGCTAGCGGGCAAGGGGGAACTGTTGCATCCTTATCTTCTCCCTGGCATTCTGCTTTCCTCCCCATGCACAGGGTGGTTTTTAATGTTGGGGAAGAATTCAGAAATGCCCCCCTGAATCCCAGGGGGTAGCACTTCGTGCTCTTTGTACGAACCTGCACATGTCTGTGAATCGGGTGTGAGACCCTGTGTTCTGTGCTTGCTCTCTCTCCCGGGGTTCTCATTCTGATCTTTTGTTGTTGTTTTGGGTTGCAGGGAGCTCCTGGGACAAAGTTTTCAGGATGAATTCTCGGATCTCCTTCTGTTGAAAATGCTACGAGCAGCGATTGAGGCCTCGAAGGACAAAAACAAGGCACGTCCGTCAAAAGCCATGCTTGTGTATGCTGTTCGTTACTTCCTCATGTTTATGGAGGAGGCCGTGGACTTGTGGTGTAGGGCTGGCATGAGAGCACTCAGGTGCTGAGCCTTCCCTTGGGCCTTCAGTGGGGAGGGATTTGCCTTCCAGCCCAGGGAACCCAAGCGTCTGATGCTGTGGCTGGCCTGGAAGTGGCCAAGGGTCAGCTCAGCCGGTGGTTCAGAGCTGGAAAAGGAGTCTCTCATTTTTGTAGGGCTCTGAGGTCACCGCTGTTAGCAGGTGGAGTCAAAGCTGTGAGACTGTTCTGTAGAAAGTGAAACTTTTGCGGGGCTTCCTCTGCATGCCAGGATCTTTCTCTGGGAAAGTGTGTGAGTGCGTGCGTGTGGGGGGGGGCTGTTTTCTCCCCAGGTATGTTCCAGGTTGGATGCGAGGGTGTTCAGCAAGGAGAGAGGGAAGCTTGTCAGGCAGGAGTTGGTGAAGCATCTGGGCCAAATGTCTCCAGTTCAGATCTTCCTTTTGCCGTGACCTCAGGCAAATCGTCTGCCATGCGGGTGATGGGGTGGATCCTGCCAGGCTGTCCTTTGGCGCGAGGAGGGAGGGGGCAGTTTCTCCTGATCCCTCTTCTCCCTGCAGCCCTTCGTCCCCATTCACACGAGGGGTCCCCCAGTCCCTGGCACAGTCTCCTCAGCAGGCAAAAGGGGGGCTCCTGGGAAGGAGGGGGCAGCCTGTTTCCACCAGTGGAAAGTGGGTAGAATCCAGACCAAGATGCAACGGGCGCTTTAAGTGATACGCAGACGAACCCCAGCCTGCTTTTCAGGGGAGTTGTGTGATCTGTGGTTTGTCTCCCCCCCCCCCTTTGTAGTAGAAGGGGGTTCTTTGCCTAGATTTTCTTCCAGAGCACAGTGGGGTTTTTAAAACCCTGGGTCTGGAGCCTGCCTTCCAGAAGCATTAAAAGGTGGTCTGCCGCCAGTGTTGTGGGGAATCGGGGAAAGGGCAATAAAAAAGAAACAGATGTAGGTGGGGAGCAGAGGAAAATGGGCCTTCGAGCTGTGATCTCTCTTGTTTGGTCATCTGCTGGTGCTGGGTCCCCGACAGGGATCAGGAGCCAAGCCGACAGGGCTCAGGGGGAGCCAGTTCGTTGGCCTGACAGAGCCGGGGCTGAGTGGCGGGCAAGAGCCACGTTCCGTAAGCGACAACCAAAGTGGGTGGGGCACGCCAAGACCAGCAGGAGGCGGAGTTCTGAAGCAGCACTGAGCAGGGCGGGAACGAGAGCTGAGCCTGACAGCGTCCTGGCACCATGCCACGAGTTGCTCGACGGCGTGCTTTGGAGGGCCTGGATCAATGGCTGGAGCACCGAGTGGAGTGGCGAGGAAGGGGGGCTGCATACGAGTCAGTGGCACCATTGAGAAGCCATTCAGGTGGCCCTGGTAGGGCTGCATCTTGGATGCTGGGAATGCAGGAGGGAGACACGCACTCCCATGATCCCTCCAGGGATGTGGTGCCTACCTTTTTTAGCAAACCTTGACTGGTTTCTTCACCCTTGCCTCAAATGTGCACACCCCAGTTCAACAGATGTTGATTTCGGTTTTGCAAACCTCAGATGCTCTAAAATAATGACGGCAGCACCTTTTGTAGACGCCGCAGAGTTCCCGAACCTCTCTCCCTTTTTCCAGGTGAAAAGCAATGCCGTCCGTGCCCTCGGAAATCTCCTTCATTTCCTCCAGCCAGCTCACATCGCCAATCCCAGGTTCAGCGAACCGATTGAGGAAGCCGTCCAGGCCCTGATCTCAACAGTGTGGGGTGAAGCCACCATGAAGGCACGCTGGAACGCTTGCTATGCCCTCGGCAACGTCTTCAAAAACGCTGCCTTGCCACTGGGTAGGTAAAACAGTTCACTCTTTTTGGTCTCCGTAGTTCACTTTGCCACCGTTTCCCCAAACTGGCCTGCAGAAGCGAGGCAGCGAGTTGCCCTTCCTCCTGCCTGTGCAGGTGTCACCTCCCTGCCGCCCACTGCCCCTGGTCAGTGCTTGTCGTGCTCACAGGCATTATGGCAGAAGGGTATTTAAAGAGCCTTGCTCGGGTGGACGAAGGTTCTGGGATTCCAGCGACCGTATCTCGAAAATGCCACCAGGAAGCCATAGGCAAGGGCGTAAGGACAGCCGCCTCCTGATCTCTGTCCTCAGCACCTGGTGTTCAGAAGTGCACTGCCTCTGGACCAGGAAGTTCTGTTGAGCTGTTGCTTAGCAGGTGACCAGTTTGGTGCAGTGGTTAAGTGTGCGGACTCTGATCTGGGAGAACCGGGTTTGATTCCCCACTCCTCCACTTGCAGCTGCTGGATTACCTTGGGCAAGCCATACTTCTGTCAGAGCTGTTCTTGAAAAAGAGCAGTTTCTGTCAGAGCTCTCTCAGCCCCACCTACCTCGCAGGGTGTCTGTTGTGGGGAGGGGAAGGGATGGGAATTTGTAAGCCGCTCTGAGACTCCGAGTGAAGGGCCGGGTATAAATCCAATTGCTTCTCCTTCTCCGCCATTCCTAGATTTGCAGTTTCTTCAGGCTGCAACCCTGCTCACCCTCCCTCCCCCCAGTGGAGGGTCCATGGCTGGATGGCAGGGCGCATGCTTTGCCTGTAGAAAGTCTCCTGGAAGACAGTTCCTGACATCTGCAGCAAAAAAGACCCTGTCAAGGCCTTTTCTGTGCCTGAGACCCCTGGAGAGCAGCTGTCATCCAGAGCAGACACTACTGAGCAAGGCCGACCATTTGTTAGTCTGGTTACCTCTGCATGGGTGTGTGTTGTGGGGCTTGTTTGTTGAGAGCCAGTTTGGTGTCGTGGTTGAGTTCGCGGACTCTAATCTGGGAGAGCCGGGTTTGATTCCCCACTCCTCCACTTGCACCTGGCTGGATGACCTTGGGCAAGCCGTAGCTCTGATAAGAGCTGTTCTTGAAAAAGAGCAGTTTCTGTCAGAGCTCTCTCAGCCCCGCCTACCTCACAGGGTGTCTGTTCTGGGGAGGGAAAGGGAGAGGAGTTTGTAAGCCGCTCTGAGACACCTTTGGGTAGTGAAGGGCGGGGTATAAATCCAATCTCCTCCTCCTCCTCCTCTTCTTCTTCTTGCATACGGCCCAGTTGTGGTCAAAATCCAAAGAGTTACTCTAGGCTTACCTAGAGTAGTGTTTGCTCCCCCCCCCCTTGAACGGCAGACCTGAATCTTACATCAGAGTGTTTTTGAGCCTTATTTTTGAAAGCCATTTTCCGTTGTGGGTGGATTGGCTGCTATCCCTTGTATGGAAGCCCAAAGCTTTACCTTGGAAATGGGGGATTAGATGTCCAGTTCTTTAAGAACACTAGAAGAGCCCTGCTGGATCAGAGCAGTGGTCCATGTAGGCCAGGCTCCTGCCTCACACGGTGGCCAACTAGTTTCTCTGAGGGTCCAGCAATAGGGCATAGAGGCTGAGGCCTCCTGATGCTGCCTCCTGGCACTGGTATTCAGAGGCTGACTGCCCCTCAGTGTGGCGGTTCCCTGTAGTCACCATGGCCAGTAACCACTGATCGGCCTGTCTTCCATGAATCTGTCTAATCCCCCTTTTAAAGCCGTCTATTCCTGTGGCCGTCTCTACACCCTCTGGCAGTGATTTCCACATTTTGATGACTCACTGTGTAAAGAGGTATTCCCTTCGGTCCATCCTGAATCTGCTGCCCATCAGTTTCATTGGGTGCCCCTCAAGTTCTAGTCTTGTATGGGTGGAAGAGAAAGTTCTCCACCCCAGGCATGTCTTTGTAAACCTCTGTTATGTCCCCGCTTAGTCATCTCTTCCCTAAACGGAGGAGTCCCAGCCACCTCAGCCTGCCCTCCTAGGGAAGGTGCTCGAGCCCCCTAATCACCTTGGTTGTCCCTTCTGTACTTTTTCTTTGGATCCTGCCTCTTACTGGTGGGCTCTGTACTTTTCTCAGAGTGCGCCACTTTGATTTCTTTTTGAAAACATGGGGTGAAAATCCTTTCCTTGTCACTGAGCTTAGTTACTAGCTTAAGTATGCCTACAAATAAGTCCTGAGGTTTTCATCCAGTGATGGCTGTGAAAGCTTTGATAGTCTTGGTTGCAACTATTGACTTTTGTCTGGACTGAAATCTCTAGGAGAGGCCCCTTGGACCGCCCGAGCCTATGATGCCCTTACCTCGGTGGTCAAGTCCTGCAAGAATTTCAAAGTCCGCATCAAATCTGCTGCCGCCCTCTCCGTTCCAGCCGAAAGGAAGCATTACGGCTCTCCCGAGCAGTTCTCTCGGATCTGGAGTGCCCTGGTTGTGGCCTTGGAGAAGAGCGAGGACGCGGAAGACTTCCTGGAGTTCAAGTACAGCACCAGCCTCCGGACGCAGCTCTGCCGCGCTCTGCTTCATCTGCTGAGCCTGGCGGGTGAGGCTGACCTGCCGTCCGTCTGGAGAACGGTGGCGGAGCACAGAGAGGCCATCAGCTCGTATATGCTGCAGTACGTGAAATCGGGAGTCGAAGATGACGAAACGGGGATTGGCGAGAACTTTTGTCAAAGGAATGAGATACTGAAGAAGGCTGTTGAGCATGTGCGAGGTCTTGAAGAGCGGTTGACGTGCCCCGTGAAAAGGGGGGCCGTAGCTTGTCTGGAGGAAGTCTTGAAAATCCAGACTGCTGCTGCAGGACTGACAGAAACTTGAGGGCAGGTGTCTTTAATGTCCTTCCAGGTGTCCACTGGCAGCATGAGATGTCTTACTTGGATGCTCTGTCTGAGCCATCTCGGTCCCATAGAACAGACAAGAGCAGGATCGTTGGGTGGGCCGGTTAATGTTTCAGAATGTCTGGAGCGGACTTCCAGGCTACCAAGGATTCTTCTCCAGGTTTAGCTGCTGTTTTCAAGGTGACCCACAGCCCTTCTGTAAGAGTCCGTTTTACAAGTCCTTGTTGTAACTAGCATTTTTCTAAAAAGCAAATGTATGTAGAAAACAGACCAGGAGCATCAGTTTAGCCGTGTGAGAACAGCGCATACGTTACACATGGTGGTGATAAAAGTGCATAAATTACAATGATAGTTCCACAAGAGACATTTAGACGATCCAAGAAGTCACTCTCTGGGGTGACTATTTCAAGGGAACTTGCCTAAATGGAGATCACATAGTAAAAGTGCTTCCGGTTTGCTTCTCCTTTGGATGGTAATTTAAAACGCCAGCTGCCCCATTGTTGCCTCTTCCCACGCACAGTCTGAGGGAAAAGAGTCCTCCAGTGGTCCGGAGTGGGGCAGTCTCCACTTCCAGGAGAAGCTCCTGCCCTCTGCCAGGCAGCATTGTCGATCTCGAGCGTTTCCTAGGGGAGGGGCCTCTCTCTCTGCCCCCAGTCTTTGGCCCTACCTCAAGGCAGCCAGACGTTGTGACCACGCGCTGTTTCGAGCTCAGCGATTCCTAGTAGTACTTCATTTGTTATTTTTGTTCTCTTCATCTTTCTACTGGGAGATCTCTAGGGATTGGGAAGGACCTTGTGTCTGTCCTCCCCCCACCCCCCGTTGGGAAGACTTCTGTCGGCAGCAGGAACACTGGGGGCATTTGAAGCAGCGGGGATTCCCCCCACTGCAGCTTCACTGGCTGGATCTCACAAGCCACGGGGTCTCCCGCTCTTATGCTGGGAGCTTCCCCCGCTGTTCCCCTTAGGCATAAGGAGCCCAACAAACATACACACAAACACACATGGAGCACCCGGTGTGGCATCTAGAGATCCATCGAGTAGGCTGCATAAAGTAGGACTCCATCCCAGCTGTAACTCCAGCCTTTTCTGATCTTCTGAATCCCAGTAAGAAGGGGCTTTTTTAAAGAAGCCACTGGGTGGTTTCCTCTTCGTCCCCCCCCCCCAGTCCTTAAAAAGGCAGGAAATGACAGCATGGGTGGGGCCTCTCAGGGTCAGTTCCTCAGGAAGGCCTAGCCTTCAGTCTCAAACTCCCCCCCCCCAGGCCCTTGCTCTGCGTTCCCAACAAGGGCTGGACCTGGCAGGAACCCATACTTAGACCTCTCAGAAGACAACGCTCAGGCCAGTCTGCTGGCTTGGATAAGAGGTGAAATGCAGAAGGATATTAAAGAAGCCATTTCTCAAGCTCTTCCCAATGTCAGGGGCTCCAGTAAGTCTCCTAGCAAACTCGGCCGTCATTCCCTTTCTAGCACTTCATTGGGCAGTAGAGGGGGCAGATAGAATTTCTCATTCACCCTCGCAACCTAAAAGAAGGAGAGTAGGTACGTCTGCTAGGCTTAGCAGAGATTCAAGTCCCCTTTTGGGCCATGACTATGAGGAGTCCGATTGCTCCAACTCTTCCTCCCATAAGGAAGAAGGGGAACTATCAGATGAAGAAGAGCCTATAATGGCTGTCATGCAGACTCGTCTTTTCCCACAAGAAGTTTTCTGCAACATTCTGCCAAAAGTGCTGCGCATTCTTGAAATTCCACTTAGCAGCAAAGAAGCGGAAACCCCTGACACAAGCAAACCTACGGGATCAGCCAGTGCCTTTCCAAAAACGGGGTCTTCCCCCCTTGGGATTCCTTTCCCAGCTGTTTTTGATCAGGTAGTCCAGTCCGATTGGGAATCACCAGCTAGGCCCAAATTGAATCACCTCATCACCTCCACATTTTGTTCCTTAGTTCTAGATGCGGCAGAGCGTTTCAGACTCCCTCTAGTGGATGATTCTATAGCCAGTCTATGCTCCACTCCGGTTTTACTAGCAGAGGCGGACCGACTCCCCAGGGATCCCAGTGAAAGGAGAATTAAGCAAGCCTGGCGAAAAAGCTTTGAGGCTTCCTCAACTTCCCTTAGAGCAGGGATGTTGAACTCATCATAATAATAATAATTTTCAATTTATTAATCGCTCAATCCTGCAGAGCTTGCTGGCTCTGAGCAATTTACAGTTACTCATTCACGCAGGACTAACAATGATTTATGGGGGTAAGGGAGGACAACATATATCTTTTAAATCACACACATCCACAGTTGGCGAGGGTTTGCTCAGCTGCAGGCTCAGATGTATTCCGTCGGCATATTCACTTCGGCTCGGCTAGATGACATCAGCTTCTCCAGGTCTTGCAGCGCCGCACTGCTACCGCCTGGCCAGAACAGCCCATTACAGGCTTCTCGGAGTCGAAGAGATTTTTTCTTAGGCTTTCAATCTCGCGAGCTGAGCATTCCATTCGTTGGCTAACACCTCCCCCACCGGGGGGGGGGTCTTTGGTGTGCCCACCCTCTCTAAGGAGTGGTACCCATTTTATCTACTCGCCGAAGCTTTCGAACCGCTGGGTGGATGGCGAGCTAGGGACAAGGCCCAACCACGGGGCTAGAACTGACAGCCGTACTGTTCAGCTCAGATGTTACTAACCAGAGGATAAATCCTCTGTGCCACTGCTCATTTGTTACAAGGGCTGGATCTGACATAAATGTTACTCTGTCAGGTTTGGGCCATTTGTGCCATAAAATGTAATGCCAGATATCGGAGATAACAACCTTTATAAAGGACGCAGGCAAACCCAATTCATGATATTTTTTTAACTTAAAATATAAATGCGCATAAAGCATTAGCACTTTTACAGTATTTCCTTTATTTAACATTCTTTGATAATTCACACTTCTTGCTCTGAATTATTGCATCAAAATCTGGAGTCGTTTAAAACATTTGCTCAGGGGTGTACACTGCTGGCAGGTGCCAGGGAAAGGCAGTCTGCAGTCTCTGCACATCAGAGAAAGAAGGGCAGGGGGCAAGGCACCCAGCAGCACTGTAGTCATACCCTCCTGGGAGGGAAGGACTGGGGTTCGGCAGGGCAGGTCACAGGCAAGGTTGCAGAGAGTAACCAGGGTCCAGTCCAAAAATTGGGGATCTTCGACGTGGTCTCTGTGCTTCACACCCATGGGATCTAGTGCGCACACGCTAGATCAATCGATGCTGTAGCAAGCTCTTTTAACGGATTTTCATGCCCAGTCCCTTGAGCATGCGCAGGAACCCCATCACGCATGCCCAGAGGGGTGGGCGCGGACATCCTGCCACTTCCTTTCTTATTGCCGGGTTGAATAGACCTATTTTTCGTCGGTTAGATTGGTTCGCTTTCGGCTATTCGCCTCAGCTCTCAAGAATTATTTCCTTATTTTATTTTCCCTATCGCTTTTCTTTTACGTTGTTTGTTCTTAAAAAAAAAAACCTAAAAAAACCTTCACAGTCCCGAAGAGAGACGGAGGCGTTCGACCCATATTAGATCTAAGGGAACTGAATCGTTTTGTGACCTACCACCGCTTCTGCATGGTGTCCCTACAACAGATCATGCCATTGCTTCGCAGATACGTCTGGATGGCCACTCTCAACCTCCAAGACGCATATTTCCACCTTACTATCCACCCCTTCCACCACCAATACCTACGCTTTGCAATTGTTAAACAGCACTACCAGCATACGGCCCTTCCATTAAACCTGTCCAGCGCCCCAAGGGTCTTCACAAAGACTATGATTGTGGTTGCAGCTTTCCTCTGTCTCCGGGGTATCTCCATCTACGCATATATAGACGATTGGCTTCTGGTAGCGCCTTCCAAGACAGTTGGGGCGTGTCCCACCAAGAGGACAGGAAGTGAAGTTTGTTCCTGCCTCCCTAAGGATAGGGTGGGAAGCACCCAGCAAGATGTCCTCCTTCTTCTCAGGAGAAGGACCCTTCACGGGTAAGTACCAATGGTCCGGTCTCCAATGTCACAGAGACTCTAGCACTATTGGAGAATCTGGGCCTGCAAGTCAATCGACTCAAAGTCTCAATTGTGTCCGGTCCAGCGAATACAGTACATCGGCAGAATACTGGATTCAAAGACATGAATGGCTTATCTGCCCCACGACAGGGCAGCAAATATCATTTCCTTAGCCACCGTCATCCGTACCCAACTCTCCGTCACTGCCTTCCAAATTCAGAGTCTACCTGGCCTGATGGCTGCAACTACGTCGGTTCTTGTCCTTGCCAGACTCAAAATGCGCCCTTTACAGCTCTGGTTTATCCGCAACTACGACCTGTCAAAAAACGCAAACACTGTCGTCCTATCCCCTCTTCCCAGCATACAGGACTCATTACTTTGATGGACTGTCCCTTCGAACATCTTCCAGGGAGCACCCCTCCACCCTCCGTCACCCGAAGTCACCATAACGACGGATGCATCCCTGACAGCATGGGGTGCACACTCCATGGGCCTTTCTGTTGGGAGACAAATGGGACGCGCAGATGAGGAAGCGACACATAAACTTCCTAGAACTGCTGGCTATACAACACGCTATCACCAGCTTCCTACCTTTAATCAAGGGAAAATGTGTCATGGTCCTCACGGACAACACCACAGCGCTCTCTTACGTCAACAGACAGGGAGGCACTGTTTCCCTACGCCTCTGCAACCTTGCCATCCAATTGTGGGAGCTTTGCATCGCCAACAACATTTTCCTCGTGGCCACTCACATTCCCGGACACATGAATGTGCAGGCAGACCACCTAAGTCATGCAGGACTCAGCCTTCACGAGTGGGGGATGAACCCAACATATCTCCTCCCACTCTTCCACATGTGGGGAGCTCCCCAAGTCGATGTCTTTGCCACCAGAACCAACAAAAAGTGTCCTCTGTTCTGCAGTCAAGGAGGCAGGGACCCACAATCTCTGGGAGATGGTCTCCTCTACCCTTGGTCCACAGGACTTCTTTACCTGTTCCCTCCTTTACCTCTGCTTCTGAGAGTGGTCCGCAAAATACTCACAGACGGCGCGGACTGCATCTTACAAACCCCATGGTAGCCAAGACAACCTTGGTTTTCAACAGTCCTCGAGTGATCACAGGGGATATACCATCAATTCCCTCTGGCTCAGGACCTCCTCCTCCTCCTCTCTGGCTCCCCTATCTTACATCACGACATACCACAATTGAAACTGACGGCATGGAGAATAACGTCATCGGCTTCTCCACCGCGTAACGAACGTCCTGTCGAATTCCAGGAAACCTACTATGCGGAGGTCGTACAATTATAAATGGTGAAGGTTCTGTTCTTCCCTAGGTGATGATGCCTCTCGAGCCGCCTCAGTGGGGCTCGAACGAGTTTTCCAATTCCTCCTCTCCCTAGCTGACTCGGGACTTCCCCATTCATCGTTGAGAGTTTATTTGGCCGTTCTTTCGGCCTACCATGTCCAGTTGATGGATGTACTTTGTTTTCACATCCAATTTCAGAACGTTTTTTAAAAGGTTTATTGTATCTCTACCCTCCTGTCAAGACTCCAGTCACTCCCTGGGACCTTCCTCTAGTTCTCCGCCAGCTCACGAGGAAGCCCTTTGAGCCACTCGCGACATGCGACCTCAAACTTCTAGCATGGAAAACGACCTTTTTAATTGCTGTCACCTCGGCTAGACGAGTGGGAGAAATATTGGCTTTCCGACACGATACACCTTACCTGTCATTTTGGCCAGATGGAGTCCGCCTCGTCCCGGACATCTCCTTCCTGTCGAAGGTGGTGTCAGAGTTCCACCTGCAGGTGGAGGTCTTCCTCCCTGATTTCTTCCCAAATCCAACATCAGCGGAAGACAAACTATTACACACCTTGGACGTGAAGCAGGCTCTCCTGTTCTACCTCAATAGAACACATCTGACTAGACGAGACTCACAACTGT